TGCCAGGACAACATCCTCTCCCTCAACGTCAGCAAAACAAAGGAGCTGATCGTGGACTACAGGAAACGGAGGGGCGAGCAAGCCTCCATCCACGTTGAGAGCTTCAAGTTCCTCTGTGTCCACATCACTAAGGAATTAACATGGTCCACACACGGTTGTGAAGAGGTCACTACAGCACCACCCAAGCCATAGACTGTTCTCTCTGTTCTCACAGGTACAGCAAGTGGTACCTGTGCACCAAGTCTGTGAACCAATAGGACCCTGAACAGCTTCTACCACCAAGCCATAAGACTACTAAATAGCTAATCAAATGGCTACCCGGACTACCTGAATTGGCCCTTTTTTTGCACTAACTCTCTTGCACTGACTCTACCCTCACACACACACATACAGTACGCCCACCCACTCATAACATGCGCACACAAACATGCATGAGAGCATCAGCTGTTCCGGACGACTGTGTGATCACTCTCTCTGTAGCTGATGTGAGTAAGACCTTAAAACAGGTCAACATTCACAAGGCCGCAGGGCCAGACGGGTTACCAGGATGTGTACTCCGAGCATGCGCTGACCAACTGGCAAGTGTCTTCACTGACATTTTCAACCTGTCCCTTACTGAGTCTGTAATACCAACATGTTTCAAGCAGACCACCATAGTCCCTGTGCCCAAGAACACTAAGGTAACTTGCCTAAATGACTACAGACCCGTAGCACTCACGTCTGTAGCCATGAAGTGCTTTGAAAGGCTGGTCATGGCTCACATCAACACTATTATCCCAGAAAACCTAGCCCACTCCAATTTGCATACCGCCCCAACAGATCCACAGATGATGCAATCTCTATTGCACTCCATACTGCCCTTTCCCACCTGGACAAAAGGAACACCTACATTCATTGACTACAGCTCAGCGTTCAACACCATAGTGCCCTCAAATCTCATCACTAAGCTAAGGACCCTGGGACTAAACACTTCCCTCTGCAACTGGATCCTGGACTTCCTGACGGGCCGCCCCCAGGTGGTAAGGGTAGGTAACAACACATCCGCCACGCTGATCCTCAACACGGGGGTCCCTTAGGGGTGCGTGCTCAGTCCCCTCCTGTACTCCCTGTTCACTCATGACTGCTTGGCCAGGCACGACTCCAACACCATCATTAAGTTTGCCGATGACACAACAGTGGTAGGCCTGATCACCGACAATGACGAGACAGCCTATAGGGAGGAGGTCAGAGACCTGGCCGTGTGGTGGACGACAACAACCTCTCCCTCAACGTGATCAAGACAAATGAGATGATTGTGGACTACAGGAAAAAGAAGAGGACCGAGCACGCCCCCATTCTCATCGACGGGGCTGTAGAGGAGTAGGTTGAGAGCTTCAAGTTCCTTGGTGTCCACATCACCAACAAACTAACATGGTCCAAGCACACCAAGAAAGTCGTGAAGAGGGCACGACAAAACCTATTCCCCCTAAGGAAGATTTGGCATGGGTCCTCAGATCCTCAAAAGGTTCTACAGCTGCACCATCGAGAGCATCCTGACTGGTTGTATCACTGCCTGGTATGGCAACTGCTCGGCCTCCGACCGCAAGGCACCACAGAGGGTAGTGTGTACGGCCCAGTACATCACTGGGGCCAAGCTTCCTGCCATCCAGGACCTATATACCAGGCGGTGTCAGAGGAAGGCCCTAAAAATTGTCAAAGACTCCAGCCACCCTAGTCATAGACTGTTCTCTCTGCTACAGCACGGCATGCGGTACCGGACCGCCAAGTCTAGGTCCAAGAGGCTTCTAAACAGCTTCTACCCCCAAGCCATAAGACTCCTGAACATCTAATGAAATGGCTAACCAGACTATTTTGTTATTCATTCTTAACTGCACTGTTGGTTAAGGGTTTGTAAGTAAGCATTTCACTGTAGGGTCTACACCTGTTGTATTCGGCGCATGTGACAAATAACATTTGATTTGATACTGACGCCACACACACTCACCACATAAGCTGCTGCTACTGTGTATTATCTATCCTGTTGCCTAGTCCCTGTACCCCTACTGATACAGTGGCTTGCGAAAGTATTAACCCCCCTTGGCATTTTTCCTATTTTGTTGCCTTACAACCTGGAATAAAAATTGATTTTTTGGGGGGTTTGTATCATTTGATTTACACAACATGCCTACCACTTTGAAGATGCAAAATATTTTTTTATAGTGAAACAAGCAAGAAATAAGACAAAAACAGAACACTTGAGCGTGCATAACTATTCACCCCCCCAAAGTCAATACTTTGTAGAGCCACCTTTTGCAGCAATTACAGCTGCAAGTCTCTTCGGGTATGTCTCCATAAGCTTGGCACATCTAGCCACTGGGATTTTTGCCCATTCCTCAAGGCAAAACTGCTCCAGCTCCTTCAAGTTGGATGGGTTCAGCTGGTGTACAGCAATCTTTAAGTCATACCACAGATTCTCAATTGGATTGAGGTCTGGGCTTTGACTAGGCCATTCCAAGACATTTAAATGTTTCCACTTAAACCACTCGAGTGTTAGGTCAGTTAGGATCACCACTTTATTTTAAGAATGTAAAATGTCAGAATAATAGTAGAGAGAATTATTTACATCAGCTTTTATTTCTTTCATCACATTCCCAGTGGGTCAGAAGTTTAAATACACTCAATTAGTAATTGGTAGCATTGCCTTTAAATTGTTTAACTTGGGTCAAATGTTTCGGGTAGCCTTCCACAAGCTTCCCACAATAAGTTGGGTGAAATTTGACCCATTTCTCCTGACAGAGCTGGTGTAACGGAATCAGGTTTGTAGGCCTCCTTGCTCGTACACGCTTTTTCAGTTCTGCCCACAAATGTTCTATAGGATTGAGGTCAGGGCTTTGTGAAGGCCACTCCAATACCTTGACTTGTTGTCCTTAAGCCATTTTGCCACAACTTTGGAAGTATGCTTGGGATCATTGTCCATTTGGAAGACCCATTTGCGACCAAGCTTTAACTTCCTTACAGATGTCTTGAGATGTTGCTTCAATATATCCATATAATTTTCCTTCCTCATGATGACTTCTATTTTGTGAAGTGCACCAGTCACTCCTGCAGCAAAGCACCCCCACAGCATGATGCTGCCACCCCCGTGCTTCACGGTTGGGATGGTGTTCTTCGGCTTGCAAGCAACCCCCTTTTTCCTCCAAACATAACAATGGTCATTATGGCCAAACAGTTCTATTTTTGTTTCATCAGACCAGAGGACATTTCTCACAAAAGTACGATCTTTGTCCTCATGTGCAGTTGCAAACCGTAGTCTGTTTTTTTTAATGGCGGTTTTGGAGCAGTGGTTTCTTCCTTGCTGAGCTGCCTTTCAGATTATGTCGATATAGGACTCGTTTTACTGTGGATATAGATACTTTTGTACCTGTTTCCTCCAGCATCTTCACAAGGTCCTTTGCTGTTGTTCTGGGATTGATTTGCACTTTTCACACCAAAGTACGTTCATCTCTAGGAGACAGAACGTGTCTCCTTCCTGAGCGGTATGACGGCTTCGTGGTCCCATGGTGTTTATAGTTGCGTACTATTGTTTGTACAGATGAATGTGGTACCTTCAGGCGTTTGGAAATTGCTCCAAATGATGAACCAGACTTATGGAGGTCTAAAAAAAAAAATCTGAGGTCTTGGCTTATTTCTTAGGATTTTCCCATGATGTCAAGCAAAGAGGCACTGAGTTTAAGGGTAGGCCTTGAAATACATCCACAGGTACACCTCCAATTCACTCAAATTATGTCAATCAGCCTATCAGAAGCTTCTAAAGCCATGACATCATTTTCTGGAATTTTCCAAGCTGTTTAAAGGCACCGTCAACTTAGTGTATGTAAACTTCTGACCCACTGGAATTGTGATACAGTGAATAAGTTAAATAATCTGTCTGTAAACATTTGTTGGAAAAATTACTTGTGTCATGCACAAAGTAGATGTCCTAACTGACTTGCCAAAACGATAGTTTATTAACAAGAAATTTGTGGAGTGGTTGAAAAACGAGTTTTAATGACTTCAACCTAAGTGTATGTAAACTTCCGACTTCAACTGTATATACTGAGATCATGTGACAGATCATGTGACACCTAAATAAAGTCCACCTGTGTGCAATTTAACTAATTATGTGTCTTCTGAAGGTAATTGGTTGCACCAGATCTTATTTAGTGGCTTCATAGCAAAGGGGTTGAATACATATGCACGCACCACTTTTCCGTTATTTATTTTCTAGAATTGTTTGAAACAAGTTATTTATTTATTTTTCACTTCACCAATTTGGACTATTTTCTGTATGTCCATTACATGAAATCCAAATAAAAATCAATTTAAATTCCAGGTTGTAACGCAACAAAATAGGAAAAACGCCAAGGGGGATGAATACTTTTGCAAGGAACTGTACGTACTCAACAAAAATATAAACGCAACATGCAACAACTTCAAAGATTTTTCTGAGTTACATTTCATATAAGCAAATCAGTCAATTGAAATAAATAAATAAATTGTATTTTACATGACTGGGCAGGGGCGCAGCCATGGGTGGGCCTGAGAGGCATAGGCCCACCCACTTGGGAGCCAGGCCCAGCCAATCAGAATGAGTTTTTCCCCACAAAAGGGCTTTATTACAGACAGAAATACTCCTTTATTCAGCTCATGAAACATGGGACAAGCACTTTACATGTTGCGTTTATATTTCTGTTCAGTGTACATAGCTACCTCAATTACCTCATACCCCTGTGTATAGCCATGTTATTTTTTACTCGTTATTCACTGTGTATTTATTCCTCATGTCACTATTTTCATTTTTTATCTTTAACTCTGCATTGTTGGAAAAGGCCCCGTAAGTAAGCATTTCACTGTTAGTCTACATCTGTTGTTTACGAAGCATGTGACAAATAATATTTGATTAGGCACACAGCCATCATGCAGCATGACCAATACCCCTAGCAGAGCTTCCATGTTCCACAGAGGAATACAAAGGAAACACATATTTCATATAGAATATTTTATTGATTAAACAGACTGGAAAAATGTATGAGGAAATTGCATTTCCTCTCTGCACACAGCCAAAAACAAATTTCAATTAGTTGAAATTGTATTATTTTCTATTTAATACTCTTCTTTCTCCGTCTCAAAACACTGATAAAACAATACTGGGCAGCAAAATGGACCAAATACTTGATTTAATCTTGGATTGATCACTTGTTTTAATCTTATTCTGCATTGGCACCTTTGCACATGCACAATATAATGCAAACAGGAGTACACAAACGAAGTAACAAAAACGAATTAAAAAATAAACTTAACAAATAAAATCTACAACACTGTTTTTCCCTCGTCACAGAACGATACAGAAAAAAGCACCTGAAAAATACTGAAAAATGAGTTGATTCCAAACATTCACTATGACAGTTAGAGCTGATGCGATATCTTAAAGCTGGGAGATAAAAGCTACACAACTGCCTCCCCAGCACAGGGGGAAAAAAAGCCAAGAGAGACTATTTACATTTATTTTCATCAGTTTGGATCGTTCACGTGGTCGGCGGCACACATAACTACGTTAGACAAACCAAGGTGGATGTGTGTGTGGCAAAGCTTAACAACTGAACATCAAGGACACATGCATGTACAGCTCCTCTCCATCTGTCCTCATTCTCCTGGTCACAGTCCTCCTGACAGTGGAGAAAAAACACGCTCTCTGTCTCATCTTCTCCTGCCCGTCTTCCTTTGCACCTGGGGACAACAACAGCATGGAGATCCTGGTTAGAAAGTCCAATAGACATATATAAAGATGTTACCAGCACAGCTGAGAGATGGCACATTGAGGTGGGTGAGGGAGTGGAGGAGGACATGAAGGAGGGTGACGAGGTGGGTAAGGGGAGGGGGCTGAGAGTGTAGGGTGAGGCGGGGACTGGAGGTTGAGGGGGAGGTGAGGGGTGGGTCTACTTACTTTGGGTGTGGTCTTGCTCTCCTCCTCTTCCTGACTCTGAGACATCTCCATCTCCTCCACCTCGGACTTGTTCTCTTTACTGAAACACACAGCAGGTCATTGTACTACAGCGAAACAACAGCCTGCTACTCACTGAGTGTAAGGGTTTACATTGAAGTCAAGTCAAAACAAAAACCTGCAAACAGCAACTCAAGGCACTGAATTAATTCAAAATATAAAGGCTAATGAATGAATTTGAAGAAAATGCAACACGAGTTACAGATTTTTCTTGGCTGGCTGTTGCTGTGATTTGGGAGGTCTCCCCCGTCTTTTCTGTGGAGTGGATTCTGCAGAGTCGTCTGTGGCCTTTGAGGCCTCCACTCTGTAAAAAAACACAAACAGCAACAAAATGTCACAAAAGATTCCCTATACACACCTTGGGAGCATGTTAGGAGTTGGCTATGGATTTATCAACCTGTCAATGTGTCCATCTAGACCAGGGACCTGAAACCCGCGGCTCCAGAGCCACATACGGCTCTGCGGCAATCTACAATTAGTCATTCAAAAAGTCATTAGTAGACTATAATACTAGTTAGATCAGAATCCAGAGGGATCTCACCTCTGCTGCGACCGCCGTGGTGCCCTGCCTCCTCTCTGCACCGTGGCCTTCACTTCCATGTTCTCACTGCTTCCATCTTCTTCCTCTCCCTGCTCCTCTTCCTCCTCCTCAGCTTGACAAGCAGCCTTCTTTCGGCCCCTCGTGCCCTTGGTAAGTGTGTCATCCTTGGCCTTAGCAGCCTCAATAATGATAATAATATATTTTATTCCAACTAACTTTCAAGAACACTTTATAGTGTAAAAGTATTAAATACAAGAACAGATCAAACAACCGCAACAAGACCCACAGTCTTGTTGTAAACATTAGTTGCTTTCCAGACCATCTTTATAGCAGTGGCGCTATTAAGATGGTCTGTATAAACACTTCTCTGAGTATTGTGAGATCTGATAAATTATGTGATCTGTGTTGAAGATAAGTTGGATAGCAACCATTAAGTGTGAAGTTCAAGATTTTACAACTTGATGTTAGATGGTTCCTCACCCTGAAAGTAGTCTATGGGCCACTAAAATCAAGTTGTAAAATCCTGAACTTCCCCATTAAAATAAGGCAACCGGGGTTAAAAAACAAAATGGCACCTTCAGGGGCCGTCCCCTGCGACCTCTTTTGGGAGGATTGTTCTGCTCGTCTTCCGTCTCCAGAGTGGTGTCTGCGGCACTGGTCTCGGACCACGGCTCCTCCCCCTCACTGGTGTTAGCCGCCGGCTCCTTCTTCCGCCCTCGTTTGGGCTTAGCCTCCTGGCCTGCCTTGTCCTCCTGGCTGGCAGCGGCGGCCCCTCGTTTGCGTCCCCGGCCGGGCTTGCTGTCGCCATCCTGAGCAGCCGGATTATTCACGACCGTGATATCCTCATTCTCACTGTGGTCCACCTCGGCACTGTCGATCCTGGGACATTAAGAGATAGTGTTTTATTATGCGTGTCTGCCTTGCCACAGGGACTGGGCAAAAAAATATGATTAACTGTAAGAGTGGTCTAGGGTGGTCTAAGCCAGTGGTTTCCAAACTGCGAGTGGTTTCCAAACTGCCAGTGGTTTCCAAACTGCCAGTGGTTTCCAACAGAGTAACTGTAGGACAAAAGGTAACATTCCTGCCCACATTTGTGGAAGCAGCAGTGAACGGACTTGACCCTTTTTTCTGCAGCTCTCCTGGAACATAGCTGCATTATACTGTACCTCCCAAGTAAATGTAGCTAAACAACACCTGCTACAGACTATAATACATGCACTTGTCCCCTCAAGGCAAAGTGGAAAGATTGACTAGTAGCGACATCCGTCTGTCTTCCCGCTCCCTCCACCTACGTATACAGCCCTATCATCTTTTATGTACACATCACTCCATTACCTGGCAGCACATACCCCATTCATCTATTCAGTTCAGATGTGACTCATTCCCTCTCTCCTGGATGATGTAAATGACAAGGGTTTTTTGAAGTATACAGCCTGGTGACAAACACGGTAGCTTGTTTTTCTTAGACTGGTGCAGAACCCGACGTCTCAATTACAAACACGTGCCACCGAATACTGAGGCTCTGACAAACAATTTGGATAAATGGGTGATCCATGTTGTCTCCCGAATAATCGAGAAAAATAAAAACCCAGCACTCTGGGTTAAATAGTCTTTCAGATACTTATTTCAACGAGTTACAGATCATATCAATCAATTTAAATAAATTCATTAGACCCTAATCTATGGATTTCACATGACTGGGGGGCCAGGCCCAGCCAAATCAGAATTATTTTTTCCCCCACAAAAGGGCTTTATTACAGACAGAAATACTCCTCAGTTTCATCAGCTGTCCGGTTGGCTGGTTTCAGACAATCCTGCAGGTGAAGAAGCTGGATGTGGAGGTCCTGGCGTGGTTACACATGGTCTGCGGTTGTGAGGCCGGTTGGATGTACTGCCAAATTCTCTAAAATGACTTGAGGCGGCTTATGGTAGAGAAATAAACAGAACATTATCTGGCAACGTCTCTGGTGGACATTCCTGCAGTCAGCATGCCAATTGCACGCTCCCTCAAAACATAAGACATCTGTGGCATTGTGTTGTGTGACAAAACTGCACATTTTAGAGTGGCCTTTTACTGTCCCCAGCACAAGGTGCACCTGTGTAATGATCATGCTGTTTAATCAGCTTCTTGATATGCCACACCTGTCAGGTGGATGGATTATCTTGGCAAAGTATAAATGCTCACTAACAGGGATGTAAAGAAATGTGTGCCCAAAATTTGAGAGAAATAAGCTTTTTGTCCATATGGAAAATTTCGGGGATCTTTTATTTCCGCTCATGAAACATGGGACCAACAATTTACATGTTGTGTTTATATTATTGTTCAGTATATATTTCCTTTTAACACAGATGATGGCTTTGCCAAAACGTGTCGGTTTGACCTCTGCTGCTGCAAATGAATGAAATATCTAAAAGACCATGTTCAGTGAATCTGGGTTTTCTACTTTTCTATCTTATTGTTCTTATTTGACCTGAGAGCAGAGCACTAAAGGGGTCACTGACACTGACCTCCCTTTGCTGCGTCCAGGGGAGTCAGGGTTGGAGTTGCTGCTGGCGTTGCTGACCGTCTCCATGCAGCTCAGCTTGGTCTGCTTCCCGGCCGAGGCCAGGGGCTTGTTGACTGCCCCGAGCACGTTGGCCGCTTTGGGCTGGAGAGAGGAACACAGAGAGGAACAACATTACCTGAGGCAGCTGGCTAACGCATGGATGGATTTATTGCAAGTCCATAAGTGAAGTACACAGAGACCAAGAAACGCAGCAATAACATTTTATATTTAATTAATTCTTAGATTTTTCCAAACGTTTAAGCGGTGTCCTCGGGGGTGGGGGGGGACAACATATAGCAGACATGTCGCTTACCTTTCCTGGAGTGAAAAAGGACTTCATCTCTGGCGGGAGATAGTTTTTTGTATTACTGGCGTTCTGTAAGTGAACCAGAACAGATAGGATTGAGAGTAAAAGGGTTTCATCAATGATCTACAGTTGAAGTCGGAAGTTTACATACACTTAGGTTGGAGTCATTAAAACTCGTTTTTCAACCACTCCACAAATTTCTTGTTAACAAACTATAGTTTTGGCAAGTTGGTTAGGACATCTTCCTTGTGCATGACACAAGTAACTTTTCCAACAATTGTAAACAGACAGATTATTTCACTTATAATTCACTGTATCACAATTCCAGTGGGTCAGAAGTTTACATTCACTAAGTTGACTGTGCCTTTAAACAGCTTTAAACAAATTCCAGAAAATGATGTCATGGCTTTAGAAGCTTCTGATAGGCTAATTGACATAATTTGAGTCAATTGGAGGTGTACCTGTGGATGTATTTCAAGGCCTACCTTCAAACTCAGTGCCTCTTTGCTTGACATCATGGGAAAATCAAAATAAATCAGCCAAGACCTCAGAAAATGAATTGTAGACCTCCACAAGTCTGGTTCATCCTTGGGAGCAATTTCCAAACGCCTGAAGGTACCACGTTCATCTGTACAAACAATAGTACGCAAGTATAAACACCATGGAACCACGCAGCCATCATACCGCTCAGGAAGGAGACGTGTTCTGTCTCCTAGAGATGAACGTACTTTGGTGCGAAAAGTGCAAATCAATCCCAGAACAACAGCAAAGGACCTTGTGAAGATGCTGGAGGAAACAGGTACAAAAGTATCTATATCCACAGTAAAACAAGTCCTATATCGACATAACCTGAAAGGCCGCTCAGCAAGGAAGAAGCCACTGCTCCAAACCGCCATAAAAAAGCCAGGCTACGGTTTGCAACTGCACATGGGGATAAAGATCGTACTTTTTGGTCCTCTAGTCTGATGAAACAAAAATATAACTGTTTGGCCATAATGACCATCGTTATGTGTGGAGGAAAAAGGGGGTACTTGCAAGCCGAAGAACAACATCCCAACCGTGAAGCACAGGGGTGGCAGCATGATGCTGTGGGGGTGCTTTGCTGCAGGAGGGACTGGTGCACTTCACAAAATAGATGGCATCATGAGGAAGGAAAATTATGATGATATATTTAAGCAACATCTCAAGACATCAGTCAGGAAGTTAAAGCTTGGTCGCAAATGGGTCTTCCAAATGGACAAGCATACTTCCAAAGTTGTGGCAAAATGGCTTAAGGACAACAAAGCCCTGACCTCAATCCTATAGAACATTTGTGGGCAGAACTGAAAAAGCGTGTGCGAGCAAGGAGGCCTACAAACCTGACTCCGTTACGCCAGCTCTGTCAGGAGGAATGGGCCAAAATTCACCCAACTTATCGTAGGAAGCTTGTGGAAGGCTACCCGAAACGTTTGACCAAAGTTAAACAATTTAAAGGCAATACTAATTGAGTGTATGTAAACTTCTGACCTACTGGGAATGTGATGAAAGCTGAAATAAATAATTCTCTCTACTGTTGCCGCGGTCATCCCCCTCTTCAAAGGGGGTGACACTCTAGATCCAAACTGTTACAGACCTATATCCATCCTGCCCTGCCTTTCGAAAGTATTTGAAAGCCAAGTTAACAAACAGATCACCGACCATTTCGAATCCCACCGTACCTTCTCCGCTATGCAATCCGGTTTCCGAGCTGGTCATGGGTGCACTTCAGCCACGCTCAAGGTCCTAAACGATATTATAACCGCGATCGATAATAGACAGTACTGTGCAGCCGTCTTCATCGACCTGGCCAAGGCTTTCGACTCTGTCAACCACCGCATTCTTATTGGCAGACTAAATAGCCTTGGTTTCTCAAATGACTGCCTCGCCTGGTTCACCAACTACTTCTCAGATAGAGTTCAATGTGTCAAATCGGAGGGCCTGTTGTCTGGACCTATGGCAGTCTCAATGGGGGTGCCACAGGGTTCAATTCTTGGGCCGACTCTTTTCTCCGTGTATATCAATGATGTCGCTCTTGCTGCTGGTGACTCTCAGATCCACCTCTACGCAGACGACACCATTTTGTATACATCTGGCCCTTCATTGGACACTGTGTTAACAAACCTCCAAACGGGCTTCAATGCCATACAACACTCCTTCAGTAGCCTCCAACTGCTCTTAAACACTAGTAAAACTAAATGCATGCTCTTCAATCGAACGCTGCTGGCACCCGCCCACCCGACTAGAATCACTACTCTCGACGGGTCTGACCTAGAGTATGTGGACAACTACAAATACCTAGGTGTCTGGTTAGACTGTAAACTCTCCTTCCAGACTCACATTAAGAATCTCCAATCCAAAGTTAAATCTAGAATAGGCTTCCTATTTCGCAACAAAGCCTCCTTTACTCATGCTGCCAAACATGCCCTCGTAAAACTGACTATCCTACCGATCCTTGACTTCGGCGATGTCATTTACAAAATAGCCTCCAACACTCTACTCAGCAAATTGGATGTAGTCTATCACAGTGCCATCCGTTTTGTCTCCAAAGCCCCATACACTACCCACCACTGTGACCTGTACGCTCTTGTTGGCTGGTCTTCACTACATGTTCGTCGTCAAACCCACTGGCTCCAGGCCATCTATAAATCACTGCTAGGCAAATCCCCGCCTTATCTTAGCTCATTGGTCACCATAGCAGCACCCACCCGTAGTCTGCGCTCCAGCAGGTATATCTCACTGGTCATCCCCAAAGCCAACACCTCCTTTGGCCGCCATTCCTTCCAGTTCTCTGCTGCCAATGACTGGAACGAATTGCAAAAATCTCTGAAGCTGGAGACTCTTATCTCCCTCACTAACTTTAAGCATCAGTTGTCAGAGCACCTTACCGATCACTGCACCTGTACACAGCCCATCTGAAATTAGCCCACCCAACTACCTCATCCCTATATTGTTATTTATTTAGCTCTTTTGCACCCCAGTATCTCTATTTGCACATAATCTCTTGCACATCTAGCCTTCCAGTGTTAATACTAATTGTAATTATTTTGCACTATAGCCTATTTATTGCCTTACCTCCATAACTTGCTACATTTGCACACACTGTATATATATTTTCTGTTGTATTTTTGACTTTATGTTTAGTTTTACCCCATATGTAACTCTGTGTTGTTGTTTTTATCGCACTGCTTTGCTTTATCTTGGCCAGGTCGCAGTTGTAAATGAGAACTTGTTCTCAACTGGCTTACCTGGTTAAATAAAGGTGAAATAATATTCAGATATTTCACATTCTTAAAATAAAGTGGTGATCCAAACTGACCTAAGACAGGGAATTTTTACTAGGATTAAATGTCAGGAATTGTGAAAAACAGAGTTTAAATGTATTTGGCTAAGGTGTATGTAAACTTCCGACTTCAACTGTATATTAACATATATGAATATGTATGCCTATAGTTGTCATACCATAATAGATAGTATGATATACACTGAGTGTACAAAACATTAGGAACACATTGATAATATTGAGTTGCACCCCCTTTTCCCCCCAGAAAAGCCTAAATTTGTCGGGGCATGGACTCTACAAGGTGTCGAAAGCATTCCACAGGGATGCTGGCCCATGTTGACTCCACAGTTGTGTAGAACTGCAACGCTGCTGGGTTTTTCACGCTCAACAGTTTCCCGTGAGTGTCAAGAATAGCCCACCACCCAAAGGACATCCAGCTTGACACCTTGTAGAGTCCATGCCCCGACGAATTGACGCTGTTCTGAGGGAAAAAAGGGGGTGCGACTCAATATTAGGAAGGTGTTCCTAATGTTTTGTACACTCAGTGTGTGTGCGCGCGTGCTACAAACACTTGAGGTTTCCTCTAGTCTACACTGAGTGTACAAAACATTAGGAACACCTTCCTAATATTGAGTTGCACCCCCTTTTTTCCCTTAGAACAGCCTCAATTCGTCGGGGCATGGACTCTACAAGGTGTTGAAAGCGTTCCACAGGGATACTGGCCCATGTTAACGCCAATGCTTCCCACAGTCGTTAAATTGGCTGGATGTTCTTTGGGTGGTGGACCATTCTTGATGCACACGGGAAACTGTTGCGCGTGGAAAAACCCAGCAGCATTGCAGTTCTTGACACACTCAAACCGTTGCGCCTGGCACCTATTGTTAAACATGTATGTGACAAATAAAATTTGATTTGATTGATTTGATACCCCGTTCAAAGGCACTTAAATATTTTGTCTTGCCCATTCACCCTCTGAATGGCACACACACAATCTATGTCTAAAGGCTTAATCATTCTTTAACCTGTCTCCTCCCCTTCATCTACACTGATTGAAGTGGATTTAACAGGTGACATCAATAAGGGATTACAACTTTCACCTGGTCAGTTTATGTCATGGAAAGACGTGGTGTTCCTAATGTTTTGTACACTCAGCGTATAGGTAATGATCCCCAAATGGTGTAATGTGATTGCACTAGCCAATACAAACATATACAGTATACCACAATAAAAACAACACAACATATTAAGGATGGCTACCTTGTCCGGCTGAGTGAAGAAGCGAGCGGGCAGGACAGGGTCTTTTGGTGACTCCAGACTGTATGTAGTGCTCTTGGATATGACAATGTTCATGGCCACATCACACACTGTGTACAGTTTCTGAGGAGAGAGAACCCAGGTTAGAAATCATTTCTACAACCACCGTCGTTATCAAAATGGATAATGTGGATAAGAGCAGAGCACAGTGTCTGGTTAAAGGGAAAGGATCCCTGTCATCTTGTTGATTACTCCTGCAGGTCTCTCTTGCAAAAGAGTTGATCTCAATCATGAGACTAACCCCTTGTTAAATTAACTTAAAAATCAATCAATCTAATTATCTCTCCTGTCAGAGCCGTGGCGGTGGTACAGCTACCTCGTTAATCCTGGTGTCGTTGGGTGCCTGTCTGTCTTTCGTCTGTTTGATGTTCTCCACCATCTTCCTAATAAAGGCATGGCTGTTGTTATCGTTCTTAGCCATGATGATCTCCAGGACAAACCACAGGGACCTGCAGAGGACAGGACAAGACTCATTCATCCAACTAAGAAGAAGGACATTGTGATCTTGTGGACAATCAGAGCCTTACAAGTGAGCTGAGCGAAGACCCAGCCAAAACCCTCTTTCGAAGAGGGCTTGGGTTCGACAGAGATAGACGACGAACAAAGGTATCCACACGTAGATACATTCATGATTTCTTACTCCAAACGGGCAGTGGTTCATGAGCAAAGTCAATGATTACTGTGAGCGTAGTTTCCAAATGTACGATAAGTGTTGTGCTCTCTACCCCTCCCTCTTTTGGTAAACAAGCAGTCATGTTGTTGTTAGTCCGCTAGGGACCTTTTTCTCATGTATTAACTGTGTATGTTATTCTGTTTTATTATTTAGTTAACTAGTAAATAAATAATTAAACCAATTTGTGTTTGCTGAATCATAAGTAAAGCTGGGGCTTTTGCGGATCCAAGAAGGTTACAACCGTTTAGAATGATAAGAGGTTATGAATTAATACGTTGACTGTTTTATGGATGTGATAGGTAAAGACCTTTAGAGTTTAATTCGGGAGATGGTAACTCTTTAAACTTCTTCCGTGGAGAATGCCAAGAGTGTGCAAAGCTGTCATCAAGGCAAAGGGTGGCTATTTGAAGAATCTCAAATATAAAATATATTTTCTTTGTTTAACACTTTTTTGGTTACTACATGATTCCATATGTGTTATTTCATAGTTTTGATGTCTTCACTATTATTCTACAATGTAGAAAATAGTAAAAATAAAGAACAACTCTGGAATGAGTAGGTGTGTCCAAACTTTTGACTGGTAACGTAAGTATTCAGCCCCTTTACTCAGTACTTTGTTGAAGCACCTTTGGCAGCAATTACAGCATTGAGTCTTCTTGGGTATGACGCTAAAAGCTTGGCACACCTGTATTTGGGGAGTTTCTCCCATTCTTCTCTGCAGATCCTCTCAAGCTCTGTCAGGTTAGATGGGGAGCATTGCTGCACAGCTATTTTCAGGTCTCTGAAGAGATGTTCGATCGGGTTCAAGTCCGGGCACTGGCTGGGCCACTCAAGGACATTCAGAGACTTGTCCCGAAGCCACTCCTGCGTTGTCTTGGCTGTGTGCTTAGGGTCATTGTCCTGTTGGAAGGGGAACCTTCACCCCAGTCGGAGGTTCTGAGCGCTCTGGAACAGGTTTAATCAAGGATCTCTCTCTGTACTTTGCTCCGTTCATCTTTGCCTCGATCCTGACTAGTCTCCCAGTCCCTGCCACTAAAAAACATCCCCACAGCATGATGCTGCCACCACCATGCTTCACCATAGGGATGGTGCCAGGTTTCCTCCAGACGTGACGCTTGGCATTCAGGCCAAAGAGTTAAATCTTGGTTTCATCAGACCAGAGAATCTTGTTTCTCATGGTCTGACAGTCTTTAGGTGCCTTTTGGCAAACTCCAAGAGGGTTGTCATGTGCCTTTTTACTGAGGAGTAGCGTCTGTCTGGCCACTCTACCATAAAGGCCTGATTGGTGGAGTGCTGCAGAGATGGTTGTCCTTCTGGAAGGTTCTTCCATCTCCACAGAGGAACTCTAGAGCACTGTCAGAGTGACCATCAGGTTCTTGGTCATCTCCCTGACCAAGGCCCTTCTCCCCCGATTGCTCAGTTTGGCCGGGCGGCCAGCTCTAGGAAGAGTCTTGGTGGTTCCAAACATCTTCCATTTAAGAATGATGGAGGCCACTGTGTTCTTGGGGCCCTTCAATGCTGCGGAAATTTTTTTGGTACCCTTCCCCAGATCTGTGCCTCGACACAATTCTGTCTCGGAGAGCTACGGAGAATTCGTTCGACCTCATGGCTTGGTTTTTGCTCTGACATGCACTATCAACTGTGGGACCTTATATAGACAGGTGTGTGCCTTTCCAAATCATGTCCAATCAATTGAATTCACCACAGGTGGACGCCAATGAAGTTGTAGAAACATCTCAAGGATGATCAATGGAAACAGGATGCACCTGAGCTCAATTTCGAGTCTCATAGCAAAGGGGCTGAATACTTATGTAAATAAGGTATTTCTGTTTTTAATATTTAATACATGTGCAAAAATTTCTAAAAACCTGTTTTTGCCTTGTCATTATGGGGTAGTGTGTGTAGATGGCTGAATAATTTAAAAAAATTAATCCATTTTTGAATAAGGATGTGGAAAAAGTCAAGGGGTCTGAATACTTTCCGAAGGCACTGTATGTAGGGTTATGTACGCTATTTAGTTGCACATTTTTTACGTCACCATTAGAATTTGGCCTTCAATGTTGGCTGTATGGTTCATTTCAATGTTTGATATCAATATGTTAACTCATGAAACCACACTGATCCTTTGTTTTAGGTAAACAATACATGCTTTTGCTCATTGGTGTGGGGAGGTGTGCCCCTTTTTGTGCAATGTCATTTCTGGGCAATTTTTCATTTAGAAAATGTTCTGTATTGTCAGATTAGCCACTCACTCCTTGATGTCTTTGAGCTGCTCGATGTCCTGCACCTTGACGTAGTCTGGGTCGTGAACTAGAAGGTGGATGGCGTACGGCACCACGTACTCTGGCAGCAGAGAGAACAGCTTCTCTACAAGAAGAACACACATGAGCAGAAACACAAACACGCACATGCACGCACGAGCACGCACGAGCACACACGCGCACAAACACACAAATCATGATGACCATGCCACACAGCGCTATGGCAGACTGCTGACTACAGTGACAAGTGTGGGGTAGGCAGTCAACAATCAACAATTACAATGTTTGATCTATCCCTAGGGTCAAGAGTTTTTCCTGACAACATAATGAGACCAGGAAAACCCCCAGGCTCTAGGTAGAGATGTTTAAAGAGAGAGTTCACTTTTTTTGTCGTATAAGTTTTCTTATTTTCAATTGACCTAGGCTGTTCTCATTTCATTTTAGGTCGATCTAATTAGCATAATACAAATAATCCCCATTAAAATCTGGCAGTTTAATCTAGAGATCTGTTATTCTTTTTGCATTGGATGCGTCTCAATCCACCGCATCTGCTTATGTCGCACTTCCGCATCTGCGGTTAAAGGTGACAGAGCTACAGCAGTATTTGTCAGAACATGAGACATCCCGAAAATCTGTCTTCTCACAGAATCGTCTGTTGCGCCTGAACGGTTTGTGTCAAACTATTATGACCCCTCTATGGAAAGATGAGACTCATGTCGGTTGTTTTGCTCTAGTACGCCCACAGGCCTCACAATAATCGTCTGAAGGTCCCCCGGTACCCGTTGAAAAAATGAATGGAAGTACAGTGCATTCAGAAAGTATTCAGACCCCTTGACTTTTTCCACATTGTTACATTACAGCCTTATTCTAAAATGGATTAAATAAATAAAAATCCTAATCAATCTACACTAGTCTCCCAGTCCCTGCCACTGAAAAACTTCCCCACAGCATGATGCTGCCACCACCATGCTTCACCGTAGGGATGGTGCCAGGTTTCCTCCAGATGTGACGCTTGGCATTCAGGCCAAAGACTTCAATCTTGGTTTCATCAGACCAGAGAATCTTGTTTCTCATGGTCTGAGAGTCCTTTAGGTGCCTTTTGGCAAACTCCAAGCAGGCTGTCATGTGCCTTTAACTGAGGAGTGGCTTCCGTCTGGCCAATCTACCATAAAGGCCTGATTGTATTTCTATTTATTATGGATCCCCATCAGCTGCTGCCAAGGCAGCAGCTACTCTTCCTGGGGTCTGGCAAAATTAAGGCAGTTATACAATTGTAAAAACATTACAATACATTCATTACATAATTCACAACACACTAAATGTGTGCCCTCAGGCCCATACTCCACAACACAAAATCCTTCTGTACGTGTGTGTATAGTGCGTATGTTACCGCTGTTCCATAATGTATATTTTTATCTGTTAAAAAAAAAAATCGGATTCTACTGCTTGCATCAGTTACCTGCTGTGGAATAGAGTTCCATGTAGTCATGGCTCTATGTAGTACTGTGTGCCTCCCATAGTCTGTTCTGGACTGTGAAGAGACCTCTGGTGGCATGTCTTGTGGGGTATGCATGGGTGTCTGAGCTGTGTGCTAGTTGTTTAAACAGACAGCTCGGTGCTTTCAACATATCAATACCTCTCACAAATACAAGTAGTGATGAAGTCAATCTCTCCTCTACTTTGAGCCAGGAGAGATTGACATGCATATTATTAATGTTTGCTCTCTGCGTACATCTAAGGGCCAGCCGTGCTGCCCTGTTCTGAGCCAATTGTAATTTTCCTAAGTCCCTCTTTTTGGCACCTGACCACACGACTGATCGGTAGTCCAGGTGTGACAAAACTAGAGCCTGTAGGACCTGCCTTGTTGATAGTGCTGTTAAGAAGGTAGAGCAGCGCTTCATTATGGACAGACTTCTCCCCATCCTAGCTACTGTTGTATCAATTTGTTTTGACCAAGACAGTTTACAATCCAGGGTTACTCCAAGCAGTTTAGTCACCGCAACTTGCTTATTTTCAACATTATTTATTACAAGATTTAGTTGAGGTTTAGGGTTTAGTGAATGATTTGTCCCAAATACAATGCTTTTAGTTTTTGAAATATTTAGGACTAACTTATTCCTTGCCACCCATTCTGAAACTAACTGCAGATCTTTGTTAAGTGTTGCAGTCATTTCAGTTGCTGTAGTAGCTGACGTGTATAGTGTTGAGTCATCCGCATACATAGACACACTGGCTTTACTCAAAGCCAGTGGCATGTCGTTAGTAAAGATTGAAAAAAGTAAGGGGCCAAGACAGCTGCCCTGGGGAATTCCTGATTCTACCTGGATTATGTTGGAGAGGCTTCCATTAAAAAACACCCTCTGTGTTCTGTTAGACAGGTAACTCTATCCACAATATAGCAGGGGGTGTAAAGACATAACACATACGTTTTTCCAGCAGAAGACTATGATCGATAATGTCAAAAGCCGCACTGAAGTCTAACAAAACAGCTCCTGGAATCTTCTCTCATACAATCAGTCATTTGTGTAAGTGCTGTGCTTGTTGAATGTCCTTCCCTATAAGCGTGCTGAAAGTCTTGTCAGTTTGTTCCCTGTAAAATAGCATTGTTTCTGGTCAAACAATTTCCCCCAAAACTTTACTAAGGGTTGGTAACAGGCTGATTGGTTGGCTATTTGAGCCAGTAATGGGGGCTTTACTATTCTTAGGTAGCGGAATGACTTTTGCTTCCCTCCAGGCCTGATGGCACACACTTTCTAGTAGACTTAAATTGAAAATTTGGGAAATAGGAGTGGCAATATCGTCCGCTATTATCCTCAGTATTTTTCCATCCAAGTTGTCAGACCCCGGTGGCTTGTCATTGTTGATAGACAACAACTATTTTTTCACCTCTTCCACACTCACTTTGGTTGTCCTTCTGGAAGCTTCTCCCATTTCCACAGAGGCCACTGTGTTCTTGGGGCCCTTCAATGCTGCAGACATTTTTTGGTACCCTTCCCCAGATCTGTGCCTCGACACAATCCTGTCTCGGAGCTCTACTGAAAATCCCTTCGACCTCATGGCTTGGTTTTTGCTCTGACATGCACTGTCAACTGTGGGACCTTATATAGACAGGTACACAAATCAAATCAAATTGTATTTGTCACATACACGTGTTTAGCAAATGTTATTGCGGGTGTAGCGAAATGCTTGTGCTTCTAGCTCCGACAGTGCAGTAATATCTAACAAGTAATATCTAACCATTTCACAACATATATCCAATACACACAAATATAGTAAGGAATGGAATTTAAGAATATATACATTTATGGACAAGCAATGACAGAGCGGCATGGACTAAGATACAGTAGAATATTATAGAACAGAATACATATGAGATGAGTAGTGCAAGATATGTAAACATTATTAAAGTGACTAGTGTTCCATTTCTTAAAGTGGCCAGTGATTTCAATAGGCAGCAGCAGCCTCTAATGTGCTAGTTATGGCTATTTAGCAGCTTTGATGCACCTGTACTGACCTCGTCTTCTGGATGATAGCGGGGTGAACAGGCAGTGGCTCGGGTGGTTGATGTCCTTGATTATCTTTTTGGCCTTCCTGTGACATCGGGTGCTGTAGGTGTCTTGGAGGGCGGGTAGTTTGCCCCCGTTAATGCGTTCGGCAGACCGCACCACCCTCTGGAGAGCCCTGCGGTTGCCGGCGGTGCAGTTGCCATACCAGGCGGTGATACAGCCCAACAGGATGCTCTCAATTGTGCATCTGTAAAACTTTGTGAGGGTTTTAGGTGCCAAGCCAAATTTATTCAGCCTCTTGAGTTTGAAGAGGCTCTGTTTCGCCTTCTTCACCAAACTGTCTGCGTGGGTGGACCATTTCAGTTTGTCAGTGATGTGTACGCCAAGGAACTTGAAGCTTTCCACCTTCTCTACTGCGGTCCCGTCAATGTGGATAGAGGGGTCCACCCTCTGCTGTTTCCTGAAGTCCACGATCATCCTATGTTTTGTTGACGTTGAGTGAGAGGTTATTGTCCTGGCACCACACTCCCAGAGCCCTCACCTCAGTCTCGTCATTGTTGGTAATCAAGCCTACTACTGTTGTGTCGTCTGCAAACTTGATGATTGAGTTGGAGGCGTGCTTGGCCACGCAGTCATGGGTGAACAGGGAGTACAGGAGGGGGCTGAGCACGCACCCTTGTGGGGCCCCAGTGTTGAGGATCAGCAAAGTGGAGATGTTGTTTCCTACCTTCACCACCTGGGGGCGGCCCATCAGGAAGTCCAGGACCCAGTTGCACAGTGCGGGGTTCAGACCCAGGGCCTTGAGCTTAATGATGAGCTTGGAGGGTACGATGGTGTTGTATGCTGAGCTATAATCAATGAACAGCATTCTTACATAGGTATTCCTCTTGTCCAGATGGGATATGGCAGTGTGCAGCGTGATGGCGATTGCATCGTCTGTGGATCTATTGGGGTGATAAGCAAATTGAAGCGGGTCTAGGGTGACAGGTAAGGTAGAGGTGATATGATCCTTGACTAGTCTCTCAAAGCACTTCATGATGACAGAGGTGAGTGCTACGGGGCGATAGTCATTTAGTTCAGTTACCTTTGCTTTCTTGGGTACAGGAACAATGGTGGCCATCTTGAAGCATGTGGGAACAGCAGACTGGGAAAGGGAGAGACTGAATATGTCCGTAAACACACCAGCCAGCTGGTCAGCGCATGCTCTGAGGACGCGGCTAGGGATGCCGTCTGGGCCAGCAGCCTTGCAGGGGTTAACATGCTTAAATGTCTTACTCACGTCGGCCATGGAGAAGGAGAGGCCACAGTCCTTGGTAGTGGGCCTCGTCGGTGGCACTGTGTTATCCTCAAAGCGGGCAAAGAAGGTGTTTAGCTTGTCTGGAAGCGAGACGTCGGTGTCGGCAACGTGGCTGGCTTTGTTTTTGTAGTCCGTGATTGTCTGTAGACCCTGCCACATACGTCTCGTGCCTGAGCCGTTGAATTGCGACTCCACTTTGTCTCTATGACGATGTTTTGCCAGTTTAATTGACTTGCGGAGTGAGTAGGTACACGGTTTGTATTCTGCCAAATTCCCAGTTACCTTGCCATGGTTAAATGCGGTGGTTCGCGCTTTCAGTTTTGCGCGAATGCTGCCATCTATCCACGGTTTCTGGTTAGGGTAGGTTTTAATAGTCACAGTGGGCACTTCCTGATAAACTCAGTCACCGTTTCAGTGTATTCGTCTAAATTATTTTCGCAAGCTACCCGGAACATATCCCAGTCCATGTGATCAAAACAATCTTGAAGCGTGGATTCCGATTGGTCAGACCAGCGTCGAATAGTCCTTAGCACGCGTACTTCCTGTTTGAGTTTCTGCCTATAGGAAGGGAGGAGCAAAATGGAGTCGTGGTCAGATTTGCCGAAAGGAGGGAGGGGGAGGGCTTTATAACCATCCCGGAAGTTCGCATAGCAATGGTCGAGGATTTTAGCAGCGCGAGTACAACAGTCGATATGTTGAAAGAACTTCGGCAGCCTAGTTCTCAAATTTGCTTTGTTAAAATCCCCGGCTGCAATAAATGCAGCCTCAGGATATGTTGTTTCCAGTTTGCATAATGTCCAGTGAAGCTCTTTCAGGGCCGTTGTGGTATCGGCTTGAGGGGGGATATACACAGCCGTGACTATAACCGAATAAAATTATCTTGGGAGATAATACGGTCTGCATTTGATTGTGAGGTATTCTAGGTCGGGTGAACAAAAGGACTTGAGTTCCTGTATGTTACTACAATTACACCATGAGTCGTTAATCATGAAACACACACCTTCGCCCTTCTGCTTCCCGAAGATATATTTATTCCTGTCTGCGCGATGAACTGAGAACCCATCTGGCTGGACCGATTGACAGTATATCCCCAGAGAGCCATGTTTCCGTGAAACAAAGTATGTTACAGGCCTTGATGTCTCTCTGGAAAGAAATCCTTGCCCGGAGCTCGTCGACCTTGTTAACCAGAGACTGAACATTAGTCAGTAGTATACTTGGAAGCTGTGGGTGGTGTGCGCGCCTCCTAAGTCGAACCAGCAGGCCGCTCCAAGTGCCTCTCCTCCGCCGGCGATGTTTTGGGTCAGCCGCTGGAATCAGTTAAATTGCCCTGGGGAGAGCAAACTAAGGATCTGCTTCGGGAAAGTCGTATTCCTGGTCGTAATGCTGGTGAGTTACCGCCGCTCTGATATCCAATAGTTTTTCCCGGCTGTATGTAATGATACAAAACACTTTGAGCTAATAATGTAAAAAATAATACATTAAAAAACAAAATACCACAAAGTTTCCTAAGAGCTAGTCGCGAGGTCGCCATCTTCATCGGCGCCAGTGTTCTAAATCATGTCCAATCAATTGAATTTACCACAGGTGGACTCCAATCAAATTGTAGAAACATCTCAAGGACGATCAATGGAAACAGGATGCACCCGAGCTCAATTTCGAGTCTCATAGAAAAGGGTCTGAATACTTATGTAAATAAGGTATCTGTTTTTTATTTGTAATACATTTGCAAAAATTTATAAAAACCTGTTTTTGCATTGTCATTATGTAGGTATTTTGGGTAGATTGATGAGGAAAAAAAGTATAATTGTATCAATTATAGAATAAGGCTGTAACGTAACAAAATGTGGAAAAAGTGAAAGGGTCTGAATACTTTCCGAATGCACTGTATATATGGAGACTGTTTAGTGCCAAACATAAGTGGTTAAAAACATTTAAAAAAAAACAAATTAACAAAAGTTTCCTGATCTTTCATATATCTCTCAGACTATTTGTTGTTCCATGTAGTGAATCTGTTATTCAACGTGTTTGTAATTTTTCATCCAATATATTTATTTAGAAAAAAAATGTATACTTCAAGGGGTTTTAGAATTCAAAATCAAATAGCTAAATTATCCTTGGTATGACCTTCTTAAAACAATTCCATTTGCTTAGTAGAACCCCCCCCCCCCCCCCCCCCCCCCCCCCCCACCACCACCACCGCCCTGGCTTAGACAGGTTTTTGTTATATGTCCAGAGTCTCCTGGCTAGCATTTTTCGAGTATGTAGCAATGCTTGTGGAAATGTAATGCGGTGCATTCATATTCATACAAACAAATAATCTTGACTTTAAAAACAGTTAACTATCACTTTAAAACTCCAGGTCCTAAACTGGCATTTCTCCTGACCGTGTCTTACCACTGATGGCGGCGTGCTGTTTCAGGTACTCCCTCCTGAGGTTGATGTTTTTGACCAGACACTGACGTGCATGCGCCCGCCGCTCCTTCATGGGGTCCTTGGCGCACAGAGCGAACACAGCCAGGTACTCCAGGGGCAGACGCAGATGACATAGACCCCGGTGGAGCTTCTGGGCAAAGGCCTGCCGCACCTGATAACACTCGTCCTGGAGGAACAAACAGAGACGAGAACAGGATCATGTTCAGTTCGCAAGAAACTGAATAAAAACGGTCCAAAACAGTGAAACAGGAAGGTATTATCTAAAGATACATTTATATTGCCAATTAAATGAAGAACTAGTCCGAAATATGAACTGCAGTACAGAGCTAAGTACAGAATGCACTACAAAGGGGCTGCCCGTATGGTAATAATTTAAGCACAGAGCTGGTACTGCTCCAGGGTGATGATCTCATGGTAGCAGGAATCCTCTGTGTGTATGTATGCTTACGTTGATGACCAGAGCACAGAGCTGGTATTGCTCTAAGGTGATGATATCGTGGTAGCAGGGCTCCTGAGCCAGCTTCAGGACAGCACACCCCGCAGCCAGACGCAGCCGGGACATATCAGGCTTCCTACAACACACACACAAAACAAGGGGTTAGTTCACCTCACTCACAGAACATAGTCCTGAACATAGATTTCAAATGCAATTTTCAAAGTGGTTACAGACAGAAAGCAAAGCAGTCAGCAAAGATAGCCCTACTGTAAACAAACCCAGACGATCAGATTCAGCATAATAAAGAATGTAAAATAAATGAGTGCCTAGCTCTGGTCCAGGTCGTTAGCGCGCGTTCCTTTACTCACTTAGTGAAGGTATGCGCACTAACGACCTGGACCAGAGCTTATGAGTGCAGTACCCAATCTTGCCCTGCTCTGTCAAGTCCCCGTCACTGTTCAGTATGGCTGTTAGCATCCTCAGAGTGGAGTTGCCCGATTTACTCTGGTTGTTCTTGACTCCGAGAAGCCACCGCACCATCAGCTTGATGCCCTGGATCTGCATGGACACATAGACCGACAGACAAAGAGACAGACAGTAAGGTTTTGTTAAGTGTTGGGGGATGGTTTTTCACCATTGTACAGTCTATGTATGGCTTACTATATCTACATGGTCTGGAGAGTCCCTTTACCTTTGCCAGAGTTTCTGGGGAAACTTCATCATCCGGAACCCACAGCTTGGTTGTCTTGTTACCTGGTGCCTTAAAAACAATCAGAAATATCTATCATGTACCAGCAACACCCTTCATCAGTACCAGCAATATCCATGATTAGTACCAGACAGCAATATTCATAATCAGTATCAGAAATATCCATAATTAGTGCCAAAATATGAGGCCTGTGCCTTGGGGACATACCCTGTCGTTCATGAGCATATCCTTGACAATGAAGTTGGCCACCAGGGACTTGAGGGGCCCAGCGAACTGCTCTGGGGCCAGCAGGGACAGGTGGCCCAGGGTGGTGAGAGAGGTGATCAGCTCCTCATGGTCCGCCGTGCCCAGTCCCTTGTGGAGAGGCTGGAGGGACAGAAAAGTTGTTTTTATTTTTTATATATAGTAAAGTAGGGTTCACTCAATTAATCCAACACATACAATTATTTAAAACATGTGCAGGCAATACTTTACTAGCATTACCCAGATCCGTATGTGCAGGCATAGTCATCTCTTATGGTCGTTGTCATGCCAAACCTGACAATGACCATAGGAGTAGGCAAAACCAGCACAAACAGATCTAGAACCAGGCTAGAAATTAACGGTTATTGCGAAGAGCTGCACCTCGAAGATCTGTGCGAAGTGTGTGTCTCTGTTGGTGAACATGGCGTGGATACAGTGGATGGAGTACTTGGCCTGGCGAGGAGGACCCTTCTTGGCCTTCTGCTGTAGGACGGGTAACAACACCCTGGGGGCAGAAAGAGGGAGCAGGGTTCCATTACAATTCAGTCAATTCAGGAAGTAAACAAAAAGTCCAACTCTCCTGCTACATTAGGAAACACAGTGATGGTGGAAACAGCAGCCACCACTAGAACGGGCTTGAGTCCTACGAGAGACTTACGACTTGATGTGAGGGAAATTCTCCTCCAGTTTGGCGCCAGTGTTTTTGAAGATCTGCAGGGCGGCCTCTGCCGTCTTCTCGTCCTCCATCTTGAGACAGCCCAACAGAGATTCAAACGTCTCGGCAGAGTGGAACGACACCGGATGAGTAAACGACAGCACCTGGGGGAGGAAGAAGAGAGGACGGTGAATAAACTACAGGACCTGGGGGAGGGACCTATGGGACTCCCGAGTGGCGCAGCGGTCCAAGGCACTGCATCTCAGTGCTAGAGGCGTCACTACAGACCCTGGCTCGATTCCAGGCTGTATCATAATCCGGCCGCGATTGGGAGTCCCATAGGGCGGCGCACAATTGGCCCAGCGTCGTCTGGGTTTGGTCGGGGTAGGCCGTCATTGTAAAAAAGCATTTGTTCTTATCTGACTTGCCTAGTTAAATGAAGGTTAAATAAAATAAAAAGAAGAGAGGAGGGTGAGTAAATGACAGGACTGGGGAGGAAGAGATGGTCCGGTGTAGCTCAGTTGGTAGAGCATGGCGCTTGCAACGCCAGGGTTGTGGGTTCGTTTCCCACGGGGGGCCAGTATGAAAAACAAAATGTATGCACTCACTAACTGCAAGTCGCTCTGGATAAGAGCATCTGCTAAATGACTAAAATGTAAATGTAAAATGAAGAGAGGAAAAAAGAGGGTGAGAAAAAATAGTTACCTTATTGCTAAGACATGAGCAACCCTTCTTCAGGGTCGTGTTCATTAGGGCACACCGTATAACAAATGCTTTGGAACGGAAAAAGAAAAACAGGCGTTTCTATGGGCATCCCCTGAGAAAGGCAGTAGCTGAAATTGCGTGGATTGCTTAGGTACTGAATTCAATAAATGCAAGAAAAAACGTATTTGATCTACAGTTTACAATACTTTTTTTGGTAGGCACAGTAGCTCATTTACTTCTTTAACTCAACTTTTTGCTTGTTGTGGGGACTCCTGAACTGAATGGGCGAAAATGGAAAAGTACACATAGTACTAGGGCTGGGAATTGCCCCGGACATCACGATACAATAGGTATCATGATTCTACACTGAACAAAAATATCAAATGCAACATGTAAAGTGTTTCATGAGCTGAAATAAAAGATCCCAGAAATTTTCCATACGCACAAAAAGCTTATTTTCGCTCAAATTTGGTGCACAAATTTGTTTACACCGTTTGTGAGCATTTCTCCTTTGCCAAGATAATCCATCCAACTGACAGGTGTAGCATATCAAGAAGCTGATTAAACAGCACGATCATTACACAAGTGCACCTTGTGCTGGGGACAATAAAAGGCCACTCTAAAATGTGCAGTTGTGTTACACAACACAATGACACAGATGTCTCAGGTTTTGAGGAAGCGTGCAATTGGCATGCTGACTGCAGGAATGTCCACCAGAGCTGTTGCCAGATAATGTAATGTTAATTTCTCTACCATAAGCTGCCTCCAACGTCGTTTTAGAGAATTTGGCAGTACATCCAACCGGCCTAACAAACGCAGACCACGTGTATGGTGTCGTTTGGGCGAGCGGTATGCTGATGTCAACGTTGTGAACAGAGTGCCCCATGGTGGCGGTGGGGTTATGGTACGGGCAGGCATAACAACGAACACAATTGCATTTTATCGATGGCAATTTGAATGCAGAGATACCGTGACGAGATCCTGAGGCCCACTGTTGTGCCATTCATCTGCTGCCATCACCTCATGTTTCAGCATGATAATGCACGGCCCCATGTCGCAAGGATCTGTACACAATTCCTGGAAGCTGAAAATGTCCCAGTTCTTCCATGGCCTGCATACTCACCAGACATGTCACCCATTGAGCATGTTTGGGATGGTCTGGATCGACGTGTACGACAGCGTGTTCCAGTTCCCGCCAATATCCAGCAACTTCGCACAGCCATTGAACAACATTCCACATGCCACAATCAACAGCCTGATACAACTCTATGCAAAGGAGATGTGTCGCCCTGCATGAGGCAAATGGTGGTCACACCAGATACTGACTGGTTTTCTGATCCACACCCCTACCTTTTTTTTAAAAGGTATCTGTGACCAACAGATGCATATCTGTATTCCCAGTCATGTGAAATCCATAGATTAGGGCCTAATGAATAAATTTCAATTTACTGATTTCCTTATATGAACTGTAACTCAGTCAAATCTTTGAAAGTGTTGCATGGTGCTTTTATATTTTTGTTCAGTATATATGAATGCGTTTCGATACTGCAATTTTATTGCAATTCGATGTTCCAAACATATTGCTCACTATATGTCTGCTGCAGAGGGACAAGAGAGAGTCTTGAGAAAACGAGTTTTGAAATTGTTGCATGTTGCGTTTATATTTTGGTTTAGTATACTTACTCCGGTCTATACAAAAATAAAATAATTAAAAATACTTCACCAGAAAGCATGACTTAGCCACAGAGGAATCAATGATCATTAGCTTCTTTAAAAAAATAGCTGTGGATTGTTTCAAATCACAAGCTCATAGGCCTGTCTATATGGGAAGCCTGCAATTGGGCAGTGCGCGTGGCAATAGGCCTGATTATTGACTTGCGGCTGTCAGTGAAAAGCATCCAAAATGTGTGTGAAGATAATGTGTCTTGAGTTTAATTTAAAATGTAGAGACAAGAAAGGGAGGGGTGTGTGCTGAAGATATAGGCAAGCCTCTCTCCAGAATGGCTCAGCTGTCTCCGGCCAATTCTTGCGCATTCATTGTTTCATTGTGTGAATTGTTTGCCTTTAAATACTTTTTTTATTACATAAGTCACCAGTAGTAAATGTACCGTTAATCCCTGTCATTTGGTTACATTAATTTCTGTTAATGCATGTATTAATTACAGTCATTTACCGTTCTCAGTGGAAACGTTGTTTGCAGAGTTCACAACCTGCTACACTTGTGAGAAATAAGTTTTGGTTAATTTCATAACCATCATTTATGAGATTGGTCATTGTTTTCATTGTTTTAGTCATTTAGCAGACGCTCTTATCCAGAGCGACTTACAGTTAGTGAGTGCATACATAATAATTATTTTTTTTATCATACCGGTCCCCCGTCTTTTGTTTGGAGAGCTCCATGTGAGCATTGAGCATGTGTCTGGTTTCCCTGTCCTGATAATGTTGAGGGAGCGTGCGGAAATGTAGGAAAGTGTTTTTTTAAACATCCATTGCAAATGATAATATATTAAATCTATAGTTCCTCACCGTAAACTATTTGAAAAATCTTTCCAACAATCTTCCCCATCGATAATCACCAAATCCTCGGTGTGAAAGAGGAACGGAAGTTATAGGCCTACTGCTGCATTGGCCTATAGGCTATGAGTTCCATGCACTCATTTCTTTAGCCACCAATGGATCAAGGTGTATCAATGTGTCCATATGGCAGAGGCTCGTGATCTCACATTAGTTTACTTTTATCTTTTAGATTTTTATCATTTTAATTCTGATTTTTATTATTAACCACATGACAATGATTTTGAGAAACAAAAATGTTATTATTGAAATGAAACAGTTCCATGGAAATGCCCATATGAAAATCATAACTGGCACGCAGAACGGTAGAAATGGTAGGATAAATTGTAAGCTTCCCCAAACTTGAAACTCACACGCCGCCTATGAAGTCTTTATAAAATAACTGCCTCCACGTTTCCATGGTTAAATTTAGCCTATAGGCTACTTTGAAGCAAGGTAAGACATGCCTCATAATATTAAATAAAACATTCAGGTTTCAAACAATTAAGTATGTTTTCAAAATGCATACTGCCTCCAGCTCATATTGTAAAGTGGTGGGTGATGTGCTGATAGCCTGTTGCCTGCACTTGAATGGTAAATGGGAGGCGTGCTTCAATTGCCAGTTGAGAAAAAAAATATAGTGCTTTTCAATCATGCACCAAAACGGTCTTTAACACACGATTGCATTTAGAATTGTTGCACAATGAATGGGTTTATAAAAGCACATGTTTTACTCCAGCAGCAACCACCTGAGGAGCTGCAGGAGAACTCCTGCTCTAAATAGGCTGTGTATGTGTGATAGTTGTGTTGGATGAATAAGATACATGATGACTAAAAAAGTAGTGTTACTTTTTTAAACTTTAGTAAAATAATAATAAACTAACTTTTAAACTGCATTGTTGGTTAAGGGCTTGTAAATAAGCATTTCACGTCTACACCCGTTGTATTCGGCGTATGTGACAAATACAATACGATTTGATTTGATTTTGACTAACGAAAAATACAAACAGGCCAATTTAATTCCACCTAATTATGCAAATTAACCCACAGACCGATAAGCATAACGGTCAAATGTATTTCCATCGACTGGTATTTCCATAAATGAATAAAAAAACATTATTTTGCAATACAATCTTTTTTTTGGTCATTTTAGCCAGCAACAGTTTTATTTATAAGCTTTTCATTTATTTATTTTTGCCAAAAGCCAGCTAATGGAAACCCTGTTGTATGTGTGTGCATGCGCTGGTGTGTGTGTTACCTTCAACAGCTCTAGGCCAGCTCTGATGGCGTCTTCAATTGGCACGCCTTCTTCATCATCATCGGCTGTCCCCTCGATAGATTTGTTCACTTGCTTGACCAGGGCACTGTGTAGAGACAGACAGAGCAGAGGGTTAGGATTAGCGGGCTAGGACATGCATGAGAATAGTGGGGGTTTTTCCTGACCAAATGACCTGACCTCGAAAAACTCTAGGCACTGGTGAAAAAGGCTGTGCTCAGTGGACTAAGACCAGACTAGACACCTGATGGAATGTGTCAAGGCGTGTGTGTACCTGATAGACTCAGTGTCTATGTGGACAGGAGCGATCCTCTCCAGCAGGAACTTGACCATCTCTAGGAAGGGGTTGCTGGGCTGTTTGGGGCTTCCAAGCTTCTTAGTGATGTCTCTCTGTGGGGCGGTGGGGAGGAAGAGACAGTCCAGTCATGACACAGACGACATACAGTGTCTTCAGAAAGTATTCATACCCCTTGACTTATTCCACATTTTGTTGTATTACAGCCTGAATTCAAAATTGATAAAATATATATTTCTCACCCATCTACACACAATACCCCATAATGACAAAGTGAAAATATATATTTTTTAAATGTTTGCACATTTACTGAAAATGAAATAAAAATATCTAATTTACATAAGTATTCACACCCCTGAGTCATACATGTTAGAATCAACTTTGGCAGCGATTACAGCTTTGAGTCTTTTTGGGTAAGTCTCTAAGAACTTTGCACACCTGGATTATACAAACACATTCTTTTAAAAATTCTTCAAGCTCTGTCAAGTTGGTTGTTGATCATTGCTAGACAGCCATTTGCAAGTATTGCCATTGCCGATTTAAGTCAAAACTGTAACTAGGCCACTCAGGAACATTCAATGTCGTCTTGGTAAGCAACTCCAGCATATATTTGGCCTTGTGTTTTAGATTTTTGTCCTGCTGAAAGGTGAATTTGTCTCCCAGTGTCTGATGGAAAGCAGACTGAACCAGGTTTTCCTCTAGGATTTTGCCTGTGCTTAGCTCTTTCCGTTTATTTTTACCCTAAAAAACGACCTAGTCCTTGCCAATAACAGGCATACCCATAACATGATGCATGAAAATATGAAGAGTGGTACTCAGTGATGTGTTGTGTTGAATTACTCAGGACATAAAGACAATTTCTTTGCCACATTTTCACTTTAGTGCCTTGTTGCAAACAGGATGCATGTTTTGGAAAATGTGTATTCTGTACAGGCTTCCTTCTTTTCACTCTGTCAATTAGGTTAGTATTGTGGAGTAACTACAATGTTGTTGATCCATCCTCAGTTTAGCCCCTATCACAGCCATTAAACTCTGTAACACAATTATTGCATACAGAGTTATTATGTGACTTGTTTAACAAATTTCTACTCCTGAACTTATTTTAGGCTTGCCATAACAAAGGGGTTGAGTACTTATTGACTCAAGACATCAGCTTTTCATTTTTAATTAATTTCTAAACATTTCTAAAAACATAATTCCACTTTACATTATGGGGTATTGTGTATAGGCCAGTGACAAAATCAAAATGTAATCCATTTAAAATGTAGGCTGTAATGAAACAAAATTTAGAAAAAGTAATGTGGTGTGAATACTTTCTGAAGGCACTGTATCACCTTAATTTAAGTAGGCACATTGTTTCCCAATCCATGTCCTGGGGATCCAAAGGAATGCAAATTTTTGTTTTAGCCCTAGCACTAACACACTTGATTCCAACTCATTATCAAGCCATTTAGTTGAATCAGGTGTGTTAGTGCTAGGTCAAAAACAAAAATGTGCTTTGGGCACACATTCTCTTAAATAGTAATCACCTGGACCATGTTCAGTCGGCTAGGCAATTAAACAAATACAACTTTATACAATCTGAACTTGTCCAATGAGAATTACACATTTTTGTTTTCTGTTGCAAAGTGATTTATGCCCTAATGAACACAACCCTGGAGACGCCAGACAAATAATTAACATATTTAACAACAATTTAGCACATTTATCTACAAGCTGCTAATTTACTGACTTAACTAATAGATGAATGTTCCATTATCCTGCTGAGACTTAGCAGCAATGACATTCACACTTTCCACCATTATTAGTGGGTTGCAAAATACTGGAGTGAAGTCGCTGATAGAGGGCATAGTGGAGAGGACATTTCTATGATATAATGAGGCAATCATTCTCTAGTAACAAAGAAGCTTTCTTATAAATGATATAAATATATGTCAGCTTTATAAAAGCATTTAATAATTGTATAGGTCATTTAAGTTGCCATTCCTGAACCTAATTGTCCTTTTAGAGTTCTAGTTATTCAACGGACTGACCCCTTCAGTGGTCCACTAAATATTTGAATCCCCGGGTTGCGTTCATTTGGGCACGCAACGGAAAACACTTTGCAATGGAAAATTAAAATGTCCTTTTCTTATTGGAAAGGACCGGGCTGGAAGTCCTTTCCCTGTTTCAGTCCATTTGCATCTGTTTGGTGCCTAAGGAACAAAGACTGGTAACTCTTCACTACACTATATGCGTTTTGTTGCCATCAGCGCCGCGTCAATGTGACGTTCTACCTGCTACACAGAGCGTGTTGTTTTGAGAGGGGAAGAGCGTATTTATTATATTTTCCCCTACTGCACCATATTCATCGATTATGCGTAAGTATAATAGCTGTGGTCCAGTTTTTCGCAACTAAATGATCCTCTAATTAAACAAGTTGCTTTTGTTTACATTGTGAACATAGTCAATGTAGCTAGCTAGCTAGCTAGAGTTTCTGCTAGCTAGTAGCTTCTTGACTTAATAAATCAAAAATAACCAGTGGTGTATAGTCAAGGTCATATGCAGGCATATTCACTAGATAGAATGAACGCGCACGTCAGCCATTGAGAATTCAACCTCTGCGATTCTTGACTCTGGACGCGATGCAACCTGAACGCAGGCAGTATAGCAGATTTGATTGATTTCAAAGGAAGCATTCCTTCAATGGCTGATGGCAATGCCGGACGCCCGATGGCTGTAATGTAGGAGGGCTGTAAGAGTGCCGGGCATCGACACAACAACTATGACTTAATGATGACGACGTCGTCTTACCACACATCCCTCGGCCTGCTTGCAGGAGCAGTCGGGGCTGACCAGAGTCTCTAGCTGTTTCCTGATCTTCTCATCCTCCTCCAGCACCTGGGCAAACTTTTTCACAAAGTCTTGGGCTTTGCCTGGGTCTGGCAGATTTCCTAGTTAAAACGAGCAAAGATGGCCCCTTTAAACTCATGGAGGAGGAACCACAGAGATAAAGTACACGTATATACACACATATATAATATAAATGTTCTAATTTTATTTCTATGGGAACATAACTATTCTCCTGCATCAAGAGTGTCTGTACTGAGTGGACAGTCTTACGTGTGATGATCATGACTTTGGCAAACACTGCTTTCTGGTAGGACTCGCTCTGAAAACAAACATTTTACCTGTCATTTCAATCCACAATCCTGTAATTCACCCCACTTTATACCATTTGGTTTGGTATACAGCTTGAGAATTGTAACCATTTTCAAATTCATAGACACAGCTTTGGATGCAAGGACTGACAGTCCGTAAGATTGACATAGTTTTAAACATATTTTGAAGCTATACACTGTTTTCAAAGACTGAAATGACAACAAAACCTAAATAATGGAGAAATACAACCTTATATTTTGGGTTATGATATGATCAAACAACTCATGCGGCATTTATAAGTTCTATTCTTCAAGAATAAATGGATATACAGTATTATTAATTGAAATTACCCAGGAAATGTTGAGTGAAAGACAACTTATTGTCACACCCTGATCTGTTTCACCTGTCTTTATGATTGTCTCCACCCCTTCCAGGTGTCGCCCATCTTCCCCATTATCCCCAGTGTATTTATACCTGTGTTCTCTGTTTGTCTGTTGCCAGTTCGTTTTGTTTCGTCAAGCCTACCAGCGGTTTTCCACTTGCTCCTGGCATTCTCAAGTTCCTGTTTTCTAGTTTTCCCGGTTTTGACCATTCTGCCTGCCCTGACCCTGAGCCTGCCTGTCATTCTGTACCTTGTCACACCACCCTGGATTATTGACCTCTGCCTGCCCTGACCCTGAGACTGCCTGCCGTTCTGTACCTTTTGGACTCTGATCTGGAATACTGACCTCTGCCTGCCCTTGACCTGTCGTTTGCCTGCCCCCTGTTTTTGTAATAAACTTTTGTTACTTCGACAGTATCTGCATCTGGGTCTTCTCCTGAAACGTGATACTTATATACCATCTAAAAACAAAACAGAAATCGATGACACAAACATATTCCTTACTTTGTGCTGTTTGACCAGATCCAGGAGATCTTTGACGTGATGCCGGAGCATGTTTTGACACTTCCACATCTCGTTCAGAGCTCTGGTAGATACACAGAAAACAAGTCAAGGGCACAATTAAATACAACTCAGTACCTGTATAGCTGCAGCAAAAAATGGGTGCCAATTCAATGATCATACAAAATATTTAAGTCAAAATGTAATGTTCATTAAGGACCAAATGGAGGAAATTTTTGAAACAGGGAGGGACTACATGGACTAATACGAAATGCACATTTTTGTTTTCTGGAGCAAAATGTTTAAAAACGTTTCCTGTTGCGTGTCCTAATGAACACGACCATGGTGTAGGTGTAACGTTAGTGAACTCACTTCACAGCATTGTCATCCAATGTGGCATAGAGGTAATACAGACACTTCATCCTCTCCGTGGTGTCCAGGTTGTGAGGAACCATGTACTGGGCAAAGATGCGCTCCACCAACAACCTGTGGCACAAACACAGCAACAATGTTGTCTTGTTGTCACAATGAAGCTCAACCAATGTGTTGCATGTTTGCAAGAAATACTCTTCATTTAGTTATTTTAAAGGACGCATTTCTTTTTTCTTTTTTTAGGAGGTTTTTTAAAGAAGGAATGAAATGGGAAGACAGATTACAGGGAATGTAGAGAAAGTAAGGCATAATCGGGGCTTGAACCCCTACCGCTTTAGGGCATATGTAGCCTTTGGTCAGCAGCGCTACCACTACACCAGACCCTGGCACAACCAGGTCCCATCTCTAGTTGGGGTCAATTCCATTTAAATTCCAGCCATTTCAGGAAGTACACTAAAATTCCAATTCCAATTCTCATCAATGCTTTTCAATGAGAAAAATGTGAAATTGGAATTTGCTAACTTTCTGAATAGACTGGAATTGAAATGGAATTGACCCCAACCCTGCTTGCCAAATTATATAAATAATGACAACTCACTGCTCCACATGGCTTAGAGCTACGATTTCTAAGCTTGCTCCGAGTGTGCATTGCCAAACCTCAGAACGGCTGGTAAGTCCAATTTGGCCCATCTGAAATTGACTGCTAAACGTGTGTCTGTGCTGTGCTCTAATCAGATCCTCTCTCACTAGGAGGCTATGGTCTCTCTCAGTAAGAGCTGTTTAATGAGCTTATCCCTCTTTAGCTACTAACAGGCAAGGATTTTTTTAAAATCTCAACAAGTCAGCTTGGATGTCTGACTACGAGATCTCATCAACTGTTTGTGTTCTGCATCCAGACTGCCTGGCTGAGTAGTGCAGTCGATGGCAAAAAGGAATATGATTTCAGTACTGCAAAATCAAACTGACCTTTCATCTATGCTGTTTTGGTAGTAGATGTTTTATATACCAACCTGTCATCGATGCTGTTCTAGTAGTAGATGTGTTATAGATGTGTTATACGTGGACCTGTCATCGATGCTGTTCTAGTAGATCGTTATAGCTGTGTTGTGGGTGTGTTATAGATGTGTTATACACCAACCTGTCATCGATGCTGTTCTGGTAGTAGATGTGGAGCAGTTTGTCCTTGATCCAGGAGATCTGTTTGGAGGCTTCCTTCTTCCCTCCCTCTGCCTGGAGAGAGTACTTCTTGTAGATCTGAGCCAGACCCATCATGGCCTCTTTACGCACCCTCCACTGGAGAAGAAGAACACAGGAAGCTAACTCACTGAGCACAGTGGACTGGCTAAGGCTACTATACGAGCCTAGGGTGAGTCAGAAATGGCACTCATTTTGGAGCGTAAAAAGGAGGTTTAGAAAATGGGAAAAGGCGTCCTGGGGGGCAGGGTGTACACAGGTCGCGCATCCGATTAGTTTCCTATATAGTGCATTACTTTGGCCAAAAGTAGTACCCTATTCTCTTGTACCCTACAACCTACTCCCTATATAGTGCACTATATTTGGCCAAAGCAATGCACTACATAGGGAATTGGGTGTCAGGTCAGACACCGCCCTAATGTTTCAGACAATAGATGGAGGTCAACGATGTGTTAATAATGGTCCTCTGTAGCTCAGCTGGTAGAGCACGGCGCTTGTAACGCCAAGGTAGTGGGTTCGATCCCCGGGACCACCCATACACAAAAATGTATGCACGCATGACTGTAAGTCGCTTTGGATAAAAGCGTCTGCTAAATGGCATATTATATTATTATTTATTTTTTAATCCCCCAGCAGACAGACAGGGAGCTGAAGATTAAAGACAAGGAGAAGAGAGAGGCTGCGTTAGGGTAATTCACATGGGTCAATAGTCGGGACATAGTGAATCCTTTCGGAGAGCTCTCTGGGAAATACATACGCTATGAGGAGATATGAGTTATGGTTTAACTTATTAATTTCTGCTAGCCGAATGATTAAAGTCTGTCTGGATTGTATTAGAGCTAGAAATGGAGTGTGTCGAGAGAAAAGACCTGGGGTAACGTTAGTAAATGGAAGTCCATGCTGCACAATTCAAACATCCAAAGAGTTCACCTTTGCAGTGCTATAGGCCTTATCCCTAACACTCAAGCATGAGACAAAGTGAACTCTTTGGATGTGTTTGAATTGTGCAGCATGGACTTCCATTTGCATGTGAAGACTAACGTTACCCCAGGTCTTCTCTCTCGACACACTCTCTAATACAATCACATGACTGCCCATATTAATGATGCAATTGTATGAAGAAAAACATATATATAATAGGAGTTTATGATGTTGAGTAAACTTGTTGAGTAAACTTGGGAATGTTTTATAATAAATATATTTTTTTGTCTGGTCTGAATATGATTTCTTATGTCAGGACAATAGAGTGAAAAAAACATACTGTGACCTCAATACAGTGAAACGCACTGAACCGTGAGTGTGAACACCATCACACCCCTACTGTCACGCCCTGGCTCTGGGGACTCTAGTATGTTGAGCCAGGGTGTGAATTTTCATTTGTTTATGTTCTAGTTGTTGTATATCTATGTTGGCCAGGGTGGCTCCCAATCAGAGACGGCTGTAGCTCGTTGTCTCTGATTGGGAGTCATACTTAGGTAGCCGTTAGGCATTCATTATTTGTGGTTTCTTGTTCGTATTTGGTTTGTGTATGACCATTGACTGTCACGTCATCGTTTTGTTGTTTTGATCGTGTGATCATCAAATTAAATAAATATGTTCACATTCAACGCTGCGCCTTGGTCCTCATCTCTCACCGACGATCGTGACAGAAGAAACCACCATAACAGGACCAAGCAGCGTGAAGAAGAGAGAGGATGGACTTGGGAGCAGTGGAGTAAGAGTCTCGACTGGGCCAAGCCAAGCGAAGAGGAGAGAGGTTGGACTTTGGAGCAGTGGGGTGAGAGTCTGGCGAGAGACATGGAGGCCTGGTCCACGGGGAGAGACGCCCAGAAATTTTTTAGGGGGGGGCTAACGCCGTGGACGACGGGCCAGCAGGAGACCGCGGCAGAGCGGCCCAGCGGGTTGGCAGAGGAGGCCGCCAGGTTACGGGGGCCACTGGTCGAAGAGGGGGTGGAAGGTGTAGAGGCACGGCGAGAGGTACTGGGGTGTGTTACTAGTCCGGTCCGGCCCATTCCAGATCCCGGCATAGGACCAGTGGTGTGTGTCCCCAGTACGGTCTGGCCTGTTCCTGCTCCCCGCACCAAGTCAGTGGTGCGCTTCGTCAGCCCGGCTCGGCCCGTTCCTGCTCCCCGCACCAAGTCAGGGGTGCGCTTCGTCAGCCCGGCTCGGCCCGTTCCTGCTCCCCGCACCAAGTCAGTGGTGCGCTTCGTCAGCCCGGCTCGGCCCGTTCCTGCTCCCCGCACCAAGTCAGTGGTGCGCTTCGTCAGCCCGGCTCGGCCCGTTCCTGCTCCCCGCACCAGGTCAGTGGTGCGCTTCGACAGCCCGGCTCGGCCCGCTCCTGCTCCCCACACCAAGCCAGTGGTGTGCGTCGTCAGTCCGGCACGGCCCGTGCCTGTTCCACCGGTGGCTGGTCCGGCACCGGTCAGATGCTTCGCGCCGGAGCTGGAGCAATCCGCTCCACCAGTGTGCAGTCCAGCTCCGGCCAGCGGGGCCAGACCGGACCAGGGGTACCTTGGGGGGTTGGAGAGCGAGTGGGGATCATGCCCGGAGCCGGATCCGCCGCCAAGGCGGAGTGCCCACCCGGTCCCTCCCCTGTGGTATTTGGTTGGCGCGGTCGGAGTCCGCGCCTTTAGGGGGGGGGGGGGGGTACTGTCACGCCCTGGCTCTGGGGACTCTAGTATGTTGAGCCAGGGTGTGAGTTTTCATTTGTTTATGTTCTAGTTGTTGTATATCTATGTTGGCCAGGGTGGCTCCCAATCAGAGACGGCTGTAGCTCGTTGTCTCTGATTGGGAGTCATACTTAGGTAGCCGTTAGGCATTCATTATTTGTGGTTTCTTGTTCGTATTTGGTTTGTGTATGACCATTGACTGTCACGTCATCATTTTGTTGTTTTGATCGTGTGATCATCAAATTAAATAAATATGTTCACATTCAACGCTGCGCCTTGGTCCTCATCTCTCACCGACGATCGTGACACCTACAAACAGTGTCCATGTATACTCCCCAAAAAGGGGAAAAGCACACAGATTTAAACAAAAAAAGTATATGCCTAGTTGTTAATTTATTTTCTTCAGAGAGTTCACAAAGACAGCGTTCTCAGCATTATAGCACAGGTCGATTCTACTGCTGTCATAGCATCATTTATTCTCCCCACCCAGTTATGCTGGAGGGTTGAGTAACAGAACATGTAACATGGCAACAATGACAGAGATTTCAGAAAACAGATGCTCTGTTTGGCACCAACTCACTGACCTGGCTAATGATCAAGGAATAGAACAATTGTTTCATGTCTGTATCTATGTAATGTGTCTAACTATATAATCTATCTGTATCTATGTAATGTTGTAATGTTTTTGCACCATGGAATTTAGGGACCACAATGGAAATAAGTCAGACTTTCTTGTGACATCCCAGTCAAATGTATGTACTGTGAGTACAGTGAAGGAAAAAATTATTTGATCCCCTGCTGATTTTGTATGTTTGCCCACTGACAAAGAAATGATCAGTCTATAATTTGAATGGTATGTTTATTTGAACAGTGAGAGACAGAATAACAACAACAAAAATCCAGAAAAACGCATGTCAGAAATGTTATAAATTGATTTGCATTTTAATGAGGGAAATAAGTATTTGACCCCCTCTCAATCAGAAAGATTTCTGGCTCCCAGGTGTCTTTTATACAGGTAACGAGCTGAGATTAGGAGCACACTCTTAAAGTTACCTGTATAGTTACCTGTATAAAAGACACCTGTCCACAGAAGCAATCAATCAATCAGATTCCAAACTCTCCACCATGGCCAAGACCAAAGAGCTCTCCAAGGATGTCAGGGACAAGATTGTAGACCTACACAAGGCCGGAATGGGCTACAAGACTGTCGCCAAGCAGCTTGGTGAGAAGGTGAGAAGGTGACAAGAGTTGGTGCGATTATTCGCAAATGGAAGAAACAAAATAACTGTCAATCTCCCTCGGCCTGGAGCTCCATGCAAGATCTCACCTCGTGGAGTTGCAATGATCATGAGAACGGTGAGAAATCAGCCCAGAACTACACAGGAGGAACTTGTCAATGATCTCAAGGCAGCTGGGACCATAGTCACCAAGAAAACAATTGGTAACACACTACGCCGTGAAGGACTGAAATCCTGCAGCGCCCGCAAGGTCCCCATGCTCAAGAAAGCACATATAAAGGCCTGTCTGAAGTTTGCCAATGAACATCTGAATAATTCAGAGGAGAACTGGGTGAAAGTGTTGTGGTCAGATGAGACCAAAATGGAGCTCTTTGGCATCAACTCAACTCGCCGTGTTTGGAGGAGGAGGAATGCTGCCTATGACCCCAAGAACACCATCCCCACCGTCAAACATGAAGGTGGAAACATTATGCTTTGGGGGTGTTTTTCTGCTAAGGGGACAGGACAACTTCACCGCATCAAAGGGACGATGGACAGCGCCATGTACCGTCAAATCTTGGGTGAGAACCTCCTTCCCTCAGCCAGGGCATTGAAAAATGGGTCGTGGATGGGTATTCCAGCATGACAATGACCCAAAACACACGGCCAAGGCAACAAAGGAGTGGCTCAAGAAGAAGTACATGAAGGTCCTGGAGTGGCCTAGCCAGTCTTTAGACCTTAATCCCATAGAAAATCTGTGGAGGGAGCTGAAGGTTCGAGTTGCCAAACGTCAGGCTCGAAACCTTAATGACTTAGAGAAGATGAGTGGGACAAAATCCCTCCTGAGACGTGTGCAAACCTGGTGGCAAACTACAAGAAACGTCTGACCTCTGTGACTGCCAACAAGGGTTTTGCCACCAAGTACTAAGTCATGTTTTGCAGAGGGGTCAAATACTTATTTCCCTCATTAAAATGCTAATCAATTTATAACATTTTTGACATGCGTTTTTCTGGATTTTTCTGTTGTTATTCTGTCTCTCACTGTTCAAATAAACCTACCATTAAAATTATAGACTGATCATGTCTTTGTCAGTGGGCAAACATACAAAATAGCAGGGGATCAAATACTTTTTTCCCTCACTGTATGTTCTCTTTTTACTGGCAAATAAAATCAATGAAAATATCAATCAACCTTGTGGTTAGAGTGTCCGCCCTGAGATTGGAAGATTGGAGGTTATGTCCAGTAGAGTTATACCCGATGCCTCTCTGCTTGGCACTCAGCATGAAGGAGATGGATTGGGGGTAAGGCTTGGGCTGTTGCGGTGACTGTATTACCGGTCCCGAAATTTCATCAGCCGGTGATTGTCAAGCAAATAACTTTCAGTCTCACGGTAATTGACCGTTAATTAACATAAACACATTTAGCATCTCCTGGCTTCCACACATAGCCTACAAGCCATTTTAAATAGTCTAATGAATCCATGTAATATAGCCTACACCTTCACAATAAATCCATTATTTATTTTAGACAGGTCTAAAGAAGCATGATGTGAAGAAAATTTAGACTCTTTCGGAAGAAAAGAATAGCAAACTCTGAGTTGTCCTTATGTTAGGTCCTGATGTGGCTATGCCAAATGGCTGTGGGCTACACTAGTTCATTTAGCAGACAAGATTTGCTTATAATTCCATGGCATTATTTTATGGTATGAAGAATACAATTGAACAAACAAAATATACATATTTTCTCCAACTGTCTTGAGGGAGTGCGCACATGCGGCTATTCTGTGTTGAGCGGTTAACAAAGAGATAGGTACTCCGATATGCTTAATTTAGAGTGTAATAGAGTGTAATTTAATGTAACTTTAGTTGTTCTACAAACGTTGGGCTATATGTGTGGATTTTTAATACATTGTAAGGCTGCATGATGAGACTCAATGATGATTTGAAAAAAGTTGCTTGAAAGGCATGAGCTCTGCTTTGTTTTTTGCGCAGGCTGTACACACTCCAATCGTCTCTCATTCACAATTTGACAAGCACTTGATAATGCCTCGAATTTCATGGTGGCATGCCCTTTGTGGCTGTAATTCAACCCCAAAAAATATATTCCTTTTGCGTGCTGCGTTGTGCCCTTCTCCCTCTCACTCACACAGCTCTCCGTCACGTGATCGGGTCTTTCTCACAGGCTACAAGTTAAGACAGACACATCGGGGACGCAACTGCACGGGTCGTTATCCAATTCCGAGGTGCATATTGAAGATATTGGAAGAACTGTCCACATTTTCTTTTCGTCAGCCAACAAGATGAGTAGGCCTAACGAACAGCAAAATAATTAGCCTATGTCAATCTACTATACCCATAGTACAAAAGTCGACCAATTGTATTCTGTGCGAGAAATAAATATTCCAAACACAGTCTGGGACAGTTGTGGGATGCGATAGATCCCAAATTAATACAAACACTAGCATCCAAAAACATTTTTTATGCAATGTGGCTGATGCAACAGATCAGAACGTTTAGCTTAAAATGTTGATAAACTATTAGGCTTATTCTTCACATTATAAGCGCAGCAATGCACACATGGTAGTAGGCTATAAGAGCGAAAGTTCCATTAGCGGAAAACACCATTATCAAAAGTGACCGCAAATGGCATTATGCATGAAATGCTTTTATTATAAAGATGCAATTTTATGGTGAAAATTAACTTCCCCAAACTTGAAACTCACACGATGCTTATGAACTCAGCAAAAAAAGAAAAGTCCTCTCACTGTCTACTGGGTTTATTTTCAGCAAAATTAACGTGTAAATAATTGTATGAACATAACAAGATTCAGCAACTGAGATATAAACTGAACAAGTTCCTTCGACGATAAATGTGAATCCGACCATCACCCCCGGTGAGACAAAACCACGACTCGTCAGTGAAGAGCACTTTTTGCCAGTCCTGTCTGGTCCAGCGACGGTGGGTTTGTGCCCATAGGCGATGTTGTTGCCGGTGATGTCTGATGAGGACCTGCCTTACAACAGGCCTACAAGCCCTCAGTCCAGCCTCTCTCAGCCTATTGCGGACAGTCTGAGGACTGATGGAGGGATTGTGTGTTCCTGGTGTAACTCGGGCAGTTGTTGTTACCATCCTGTACCTGTCCCGCAGGTGTGATGTTCGGATGTACCGATCCTGTGCAGGTGTTGTTACACGTGGTCTGCTAGTACGAGGACGATCCGCTGTCCGTCCTGTTTTTCAGAGTCAGTAGAAAGGCCTATTTAGTGTCCGAAGTTTTCAAAACTGTGACATTAATTGCCTACCGTCTGTAAGCTGTTAGTGTCTTAATGACCGTTCCACAGGTGCATGTTCATTAATTGTTTATGGTTCATTAAACAAGCATGGGAAACAGTATTTAAACCCTTTACAATGAAGATCTGTGAAGTTATTTGGACTTTCACAAATTATCTCCGAAAGAGGGACGTTTCTTTTTTTGCTGAGTTTATATGCCAGTTAGGCTCTACACCCCTTGTAAAACAGATTAATGTGCTTAATTTTAAGAAGTTATTTGGCCACTTTAGTTGTGATACAAACCTTATTAAAATATATAGGCCTATGGGCTAGGCATTGTTTCTTATGCTGGGCATCATTCACAAGTGATAATATATCATTCACAAGTGAAAGGCTAATATTGTCAGCCATCAGACTATTCTTGATTTAATCTTGTCAAAACATATACTAAATAATATATGTGTGACATTTGTTTTGATTTAGAATGGACCATTATCATCCACCTGTATCGAAACAGGGGCAGCGGGAAAAAATACATGTCATCTGTCACGCTCTGGCTCCGGGACTTTGTATGTTGAGCCAGGGTGTGTTTGTTTCGTGGTGTTCTGTTTGGTTGGGTTGTTCTATGTGGTTGTATTTCTTTGTTTGAATGAGTGACTCCCAATCAGAGGTAACGAGTGTCAGCTGTTGGCTCGTTGTCTCTGATTGGGAGCCATATTTATACTGTCTGTTTTCACCTTGGGGTTGTGGGTTTTTGTTCCGTGTTCAGTCAGTGTTACTGTGGACTTCACGATCGTGTTTTGTTTTGTACTTGTGCTTTACTAATTAAAGTCATGTTCGTTTCACACGCTGCGCCTTGGTCTACTCCTTCTCGTCAAGATCGTCGTGACATCATCTATGCACTTAAATAGCATATGGAGGACGCTTTTCTCAGTGGTTTATTTTCATGCCAGCCAGGTAGGCTATACTCCTGTTGTAAATACAGTGGGGGAAAAAAGTATTTAGTCAGCCACCAATTGTGCAAGTTCTCCCACTTAAAAAGATGAGAGAGGCCTGTAATTTTCATCATAGGTACACGTCAACTAACGAAAATTTTATTCTCCAGAAAATCACATTGTAGGATTTTTTATGAATTTATTTGCAAATTATGGTGGAAAATAAGTATTTGGTCACCTATAAAACAAGCAAGATTTCTGGCTCTCACAGACCTGTAACTTCTTCTTTAAGAGGCACCTCTGTCCTCCACTCGTTACCTGTATTAATGGCACCTGTTTGAACTTGTTATCAGTATAAAAGACACCTGTCCACAACCTCAAACAGTCACACTCCAAACTCCACTATGGCCAAGACCAAGGAGCTGTCAAAGGACACCAGAAACAAAATTGTAGACCTGCACCAGGCTGGGAAGACTGAATCTGCAATAGGTAAGCAGCTTGGTTTGAAGAAATCAACTGTGGGAGCAATTATTAGGAAATGGAAGACATACAAGACCACTGATAATCTCCCTCGATCTGGGGCTCCACGCAAGATCTCACCCAGTGGGGTCAAAATGATCACAAGAACGGTGAGCAAAAATCCCAGAACCACACGGTGGGACCTAGTGAATGACCTGCAGAGAGCTGGGACCAAAGTAACAAAGCCTACCATCAGTAACACACTACGCCGCCAGGGACTCAAATCCTGCAGTGCCAGACGTGTCCCCCTGCTTAAGCCAGTACATGTCCAGGCCCGTCTGAAGTTTGCTAGAGTGCATTTGGATGATCCAGAAGAGGATTGGGAGAATGTCATATGGTCAGATGAAACCAAAATATAACTTTTTGGTAAAAACTCAACTCGTCGTGTTTGGAGGACAAAGAATGCTGAGTTGCATCCAAAGAACACCATACCTACTGTGAAGCATGGGGGTGGAAACATCATGCTTTGGGGCTGTTTTTCTGCAAAAGGACCAGGACGTGTAAAGGAAAGAATGAATGGGGCCATGTATCGTGAGATTTTGAGTGAAAACCTCCTTCCATCAGCAAGGGCATTGAAGATGAAACGTGGCTGGGTCTTTCAGCATGACAATGATCCCAAACACACCTCCCGGGCAACGAAGGAGTGGCTTCGTAAGAAGCATTTCAAGGTCCTGGAGTTGCCTAGCCAGTCTCCAGATCTCAACCCCATAGAAAATCTTTGGAGGGAGTTGAAAGTCCGTGTTGCCCAGCGACAGCCCCAAAACATCACTGCTCTAGAGGAGATCTGCATGGAGGAATGGGCCAAAATACCAGCAACAGTGTGTGAAAACCTTGTGAAGACTTACAGAAAACGTTTGACCTGTGTCATTGCCAACAAAGGGTATATAACAAAGTATTGAGAAACTTTTGTTATTGACCAAATACTTATTTTCCACCATAATTTGCAAATAAATTAATAAAAAATCCTACAATGTGATTTTCTGGAGAAAAAAAAATCTCATTTTGTCTGTCAATAGTTGACGTGTACCAATGATGAAAATTACAGGCCTCTCTCATCTTTTTAAGTGGGAGAACTTGCACAATTGGTGGCTGACTAAATACTTTTTTCCCCCACTGTATAAGCAATGTGCTTAATATTAGGAAAGATGAGAAATAAATATAGTAGGCCTAGCCTATAGAAAGCTGATGGGATCCTCCTCTTTTTATCAGCGGCTATCACTCTGTTTTCTCCCACAATTGCATAGCCTATAGAAATGTTGCGCAACATGAGCTCATGGGCTCTCATTAAATGTTTGATTAGATTTTCGAACACATTTGCATTGATCTGGATAAGAGCGTCTGCAAAATGACTTAAATGTAAATGTAAATGTCAGAGTGATTAGAGGGACAATAGAGTGCTGAGTACCAGGCAGTTAGCAAGTTTGGTATGCTACTAAAGACCAGCAGCAGCATCAGAGCTTAGAAAAGCCTAATTACCCTGACTAAACAGTCATGTGGAATTTGACTGCCTTCATGACTCGTGACCACCGGTGTGGCGGTAATACGGTCACCGCAACAGCCCTAGTAATGAGTCATGAATGCAGTAAAATTCCATGTGACCGTTGAGTCACGGTAATCTCCTTTTATGCAATATATATACATATATATATATATACAGTGGGGAGAACAAGTATTTGATACACTGCCGATTTTGCAGGTTTTCCTACTTACAAAGCATGTAGAGGTCTGTCATTTTGAAAGTTTGGACACACCTACTCATTCAAGGGTTTTTCTTTATTTTTACTATTTTCTACATTGTAGAATAATAGTGAAGACATCAAAACTATGAAATAACACATATGGAATCATGTAGTAACCAAAAAAGTGTTAAACAAATGAAAATATATTTTATATTTGAGATTCTTCAAAGTAGCCACCCTTTGCCTTGACAGCTTTGCACACTCCTTGCATTCTCTCAACCAGCTTCCCCTGGAATGTATTTCCAACAGTCTTGAAGGAGTTCCCACATATGCTGAGCACTTGTTGGCTGCTTTTTCTTCACTCTGCGGTCCAACTCATCCCAAACCATCTCAATTGGGTTGAGGTCGGGTGACTGTGGAGGCCAGGTCATCTGATGCAGCACTCCATTACTATCCTTCTTGGTCAAATTGCCCTTACACAGTCTGGAGGTGTGTTAGGTCATTGTCCTGTTGAAAAACAAATGATAGTCCCACTAAGCGCAAACCAGATGGGATGGCTGCAGAATACTGTGGTAGCCATGATGGTTAAGTGTGCTTTGAATTCTAAATAAATCACAGACAGTGTCACCAGCAAAGCACCCACACACCAAAACACCATGCTTCACGGAGGAAACCACACATGCGGAGATCATCCGTTCAACTACTCTGCGTCTCACAAAGACACGGCGGTTGGAACCAAAAATCTCAAATTTGGAACAGATTTCCACCGGTCTAATGTCCATTTCATTGCAGCAAATCGACCATGAAGGCCTGAATCATGCAGTCTCCTCTGAACAGTTGATGTTGAGATGTGTCTGTTACTTGAACTCTATGAAGCATTTATTTGGGCTGTAATTTCTGAGGCTGGTAATGCCAATTAACTTATCCTCTGCAGCAGAGGACATTCTGGGTCTTCCTTTGCTGTGGCGGTCCTCATGAGAGCCATTTTCATCATAGCGCTTTATAGTTTTTGCGACTGCACTTGAAGAAACGTTCAAAGTTCTTGACATTTTCCAGATAGAGTGACCTTCATGTCTTAAAGTAATGATGGACTGTCGTTTCGCTTTGCTTATTTGAGCTGTTTTACCAAATAGGACTATCTTCTGTATACCCCCCCTACCTTGTCACAACACAACTGATTGGCTCAAACTCATTAAAGAAACACATTCCACTAATTAACTTTTAACAAGGCACACCTGTTAATTGAAATGCATTCCAGGTGAATACCTCATGAAGCTGGTGTAGAGAATTCCAAGAGTGTGCAAAGCTGTCATCAAGGCAAAGGGTGGCTACTTTGAAGAATCTCAAATAGAAAATATATTTTCATTTGTTTAACACTTTTTGGTTACTACATGATTCCATGTGTTATTTCATAGTTTTGATGTCTTCACTATTTTTCTACAATGTAGAAAATAGTAAAAAAATTAAGAAAAACCCTTGAATGAGTAGGTGTCCAAACTTTTGACTGGTACTGTGTGTGTGTGTGTGTGTGTGTGTGTGTGTGTGTGTGTGTATATATATATACACAGTGAGGGAAAAAAGTATTTGATCCCCTGCTGATTTTGTATGTTTGCCCACTGACAAAGACATGATCAGTCTATAATTTTAATGGTAGGTTTATTTGAAAAGTGAGAGACAGAATAACAAAAAAAAAATCCAGAAAAAACGCATGTCAAAAATGTTATAAATTGATTTGCATTTTAATTCGGGAAATAAGTATTTGACCCCCTCTCAATCAGAAAGATTTCTGGCTCCCAGAAACTACTTATTTCCCTCATTAAAATGCAAATCAATTTATAACATTTTTGACATGCGTTTTTCTTGATTTTGTTGTTGTTATTCTGTCTCTCACTGTTCAAATAAACCTACTATTAACATGATAGACTGATCATGTCTTTGTCAGTGGGCAAACGTACAAAATCAGCAGGGGATCAAATTATTTTTTCCCTCACTGTATATATATATATATATATATATATATATATATATATATATATATATATAGATATATATATATATATATATATATATATATATATATATATATATATATATATATATATATATATCTATATATATTATATATATATATATATATATATATATATATATATATATATATATGAGAGAGAGATATAGACAGAGATATAGATAGAGAGATATGTGATGGTATGTAAAGACATTATGGACAGTATGTGGATAGAATATTCAGTATATCTGTAGAATACGTAGGATAGAATAGTATACTGTATATACAGCAATAGTTGAATAGGATGGCCTTGACTAGAATACAGTATATACTGTACATATGAAATGAGTAAAACAGTATGTACAGTTGAAGTCAGAAGTTTACATACACCTTAGCCAAATACATTTAAACTCAGTTTTTCACAATTCCTGACATTTAATCCTAGTAAAAATTCCCTGTCTTAGGTCAGTCAGGATCATCACTTTATTTTAAGAATGTGAAATGTCAGAATAATAGTAGAGAGAATGATTTCTTTCAGCTTTTATTTCTTTCATCACATTCCCAGTGGGTCAGAAGTTTACATACACTCAATTAGTATTTGGTAGCATTGCCTTTAAATTGTTTAACTTGGGTCAAACTTTTCGGGTAGCCTTCCACAAGCTTTCCACAATAAGTTGGGTGAATTCTGGCCCATTCCTCCTGACAGAGCTGGTGTAACTGAGTCAGGTTTGTAGGCCTCCTTGCTCGCACACGCTTTTTCAGTTCTGCCCACAAATGTTCTATATGATTGAGGTCAGGGCTTTGTGATGGCCACTCCAATTCCTTGACTTTGTTGTCCTTAAGGCATTTTGCCACAACTTTGGAAGTATGCTTGGGGTCATTGTCCATTTGGAAGACCCATTTGCGACCAAGCTTTAACTTCCTGACTGATGTCTTGAGATGTTGCTTCAATATATCCACATAATTTTCCTTCCTCATGATGCCATCTATTTTGTGAAGTGCACCAGTCCCTCCTGCAGCAAAGCACCCCCACAGCATGATGCTGCCACCCCCATTCTTCATGGTTGGGATGGTGTTCTTCGGCTTGTAAGCGTCCCCCTTTTTCCTCCAAACATAACGATGTTCATCATGGCCAAACAGTTCTATTTTGTTTCATCAGACCAGAGGACATTTCTCCAAAAAGTATGATCTTTGTCCCCATGTGCAGTTGCAAACCGTAGTCTGGCTTTTTTATGGCGGTTTTGGAGCAGTGGCTTCTTCCTTGCTGAGCGGCCATTCAGGTTATGTCGATATGGGACTTGTTTTACTGTGAAAATGTGAGGGTCTTACGGGCCAAGACAAATTTCTTCAGCCTCTTGAGGTTAAAGAGGCACTGTTGCACCTTCTTCACCACACTGTCTGTGTGGGTGGACCAATTCAGATTGTCAGTGATGTGTATGCCGAGGAACTTGAAGCTTTTCACCTTTTCCACTGCTCCCCCGTCGATGTGGACGTGCTCCCTCTGCTGTCTCCTTAAGTCCATGATCAGCTCCTTCGCTTTGTTGACGTTGAGGGAGAGTTTATTTTCCTGGCACCACTCCACCTGGGCTCGTCATTGTTGGTAATCAGGCCTACTACTGTTGTGTCGCCTGCAAACTTGATGATTGAGTTGAAGGCGTACGTGGCCAAGCAGTCATTGGTGATCAGGAAGTCCAGGACCCTCGGGAGCGGCCCGCATCGGAGGCACTGTGTTATCCTAAAAACAGGCAAAGATGTTGTTTAGCTTGTCCGGGAGCAAGACGTCGGTGTCCGCGACGTGGCTGGTTTTCCCTTTGTACTCTGTGATTGTCTGGAATCCCTGCCACATACATAGTCACTTGTCTGTATACGTTTTGATTTCTAAGTCATTTTAAGGTTTGTATGATTCACAACTAAAGTTGCCAAATAATTCTAAATCTAGCATATAGGACCTGTTTCAAATTATCTACATAGCCACTTCATATGCGCAGCCGCTCCATAATGGAAAAATATTATTTATATTTTATTCAGCTACGTTATATTCTTCTTACTATAAAATCATATAAAATAAAATAATGGCACAGGACTTAAGCATATCTTGCCAGCTAAATGAACAAGCCTACAGCCTATGGCATGGAGCATAGCCAGATAACATAGGCTACAGTTGGCTGGCCAACTCATATTCTGTTCTTCTAAAATACATTTTCTTCATATCATAATGTTTCTTTAGACCTGACTACAATAAAAAATGGATGTATTGTGATGGTGTATATTAAATGTATTTATTAGACTTTTTTTTAAATGTAGATGTTCCAAAGGCGTGCATCAGCGGCTTGTATGAGTGGAGGCCTGGTGATGCTTAAGGTGTTTATGTTAAATAACGGTTTTTACCGTTAATTACCGTGAGACCGGCAGGCATTTGCATGACAATAACCAGCTGACAACATTTCATGACCGCCACAGGCCAAGGTAAGGCCCTGCGATAGACTACCTTCTGTCCAGCAAGTGTACTTGTACATCAAGCTGCCTCACGCTACAGGAACAGAGATAGGCTCCTGCCCTATGGACCATTCTGGTTCAGACAAACCTACTTATTTTTTTATTCTAAAATGGACAGGACCAAACTTCTGCATAGCGTACTCAAACAGTCGATTAGAAAACTCACCCTCTTGTCAAGCGTCCTCTCCCTCACAAAGTTCAGCAGCTGGTCGTTGACGAGCACTAGGTCCTTTTTAGCCGCCGCCACGATGGACACAATGACATCGTGGCGGATGGCTTCTTCGGGGTCGTGGGACCTCACCTTTAAAAACTCTACAAAGGACACCAACAACAAGTCTAGGATAACTTGTGGGGACAACGGTAAAAGATCATCCACGTGTGCGGAATCCTTACTTGAGATCTGTAGCCGCAACTAAAATTGACACGCAAATCAACCAATTGACATTGATGAATGATTTGCGTGAAAGCGGCAGTTGGGCATGCATATCTCAATGAAGATTTCAACCCACAGTAACTCTGAATAACCCTAAAATAATCTGTTGGAAAGGCATTCATTCATTTTTAATTTGGTATGCAACCAGGGCCCTATTCAGACTTGAGATAAGTTGACTTGACATGGACATAAGTTTTAAAAAAAATTCAGTCCATGTTTTATTGACGTAAGTCCATTTTGAGTCTACTTATATCAAGTCTGAATCGGGACCTGGTTGCGTACCAAATTAAAAATGAATGAATGCCTTTCTAACATATTATTTTATTCAATGCCATCCTACCTGTCAGGTCCTTGGCTAAGTCAGGGTGGTTCATCAGACAATGGCTGGCAAATTTCACACATTCCAGTCGAATGGGAACGTGGATGTCATTGAACCTGTAGGAGACAGAAGACATACATTGTAAAACGACAGCAATATGATTAAAAAATCATTAAAAAAAAAAAAAACGGCATATTCTTACCTTCCGAGATAACACTGCCACAGAGGTTTATTTTGCGCTGCGAGTTCAGAGTCCTTGGCTCCAAACATTTTGGCCAGCAGTTTCACCACCTGTAGCCTCTCGTCGTTGTCGTTGCTCTGAAAAAAGTAAGATAAAATTGATTTGGCAACTCACAAACCAGTTTACATTATTTTTCATTTAACCTTTATTTAGTCAATTGAGAACAAATGCTTGTTTACAATGACTGACTGGCATCATTAGTCACTGCTTTGTGTTTGTACCGTTCCACAGCACCTCAGCTTTGCTCATAACGATGCCGAGTCGGGCCCAAGGTTAAACACAGCAATTTATCAAAGGTTATGCAACCAAACATAGCCTACACTCTGAGCCCAGTGTTAAAAGCACTCTGAGCTGTCTGGAAGCTCCAAGTGGCAGTTAGTGGTGTAATGTGTGTGTGTGTGTGTGTGTGAGTGTGTGTCTCTCTCTGTCTGTCTGTCTGTCTGTCTGTCTGTCTGTCTGTCTGTGCGTGCATGCGTAAGGGAGTGTCGCTACCTTGAGTTTAAACTCTAGCTGCGGCAGCACCGACAAGAGGAGGTGGCTGTCGATATTGTAGAGCTCGAGGATCAGGTCGAACACGTGCTCCGACAGGTCGCTGACCGACGTCTTCCCCAGCATCAGTACCAGGTTAAAGAACTTGGGGGGGAAGGAACAACACAGCCTGGGTTACACGTCTGTTCTGTTCACTGACACACACACACGCACGCTGGCTTTTCCTGTGGGCTCCAATGATGAATGTGCTCAGGCAGGGCCGAGCCCAGAGGGCTCTGCAGATGGATTCTACAGCAGAGTTTTCCAGCCAGGACTGTTCCCTCTTTTCCAAAGACACACACACACACAAACACAGATGAACTAGCGCACAGATTAACGCTACATATTTGTTGAATGACAATTTTCCTTCAGTATATGCTAGCTGTTGACAATTAAAAATACCTATTCTGTTTAGTTCTGTTCAGTGAATCACATTCAAACAAACTGTCTTTTAATTTCTGACATGAAATTACTACTGAAATGAATGACTATGTTTGAATTAAATTAGCCAACAATTGAAAAATGAATGTATTCCGTAGGCTACGTGTTGCAGTGTTTGTACATTTTACATGTTAAAACATTGACTTTTCTATGAGATGCTTGAAAGACATGAATCAATGAGATTGGTTGTTTATATTAAAACAAATGTATGAGGCTCATATTTGTTGATATTAAAATACAGTATTTCAATCTGTGAGACCTCTTTATTGTCAACATGTCGAAATCGAATCTAGACCTACATTTGTTGATAATCGCACCCTGCACCCGTACACACACACAAAACAGTAATACTGTTAACACCCAGCAGTGTTAGCAAGACACATTGGGTGTTTACCACAATCCACAAAGACAACTCACGTTAGTTATGTATGGCTCGATGGCCTGAGCAGTCCTTTTCAGCAGAGCTTTTGCCAGGTCGTACGCCTGCTTGTTCAAGTTCTGCTCAAACAAAAACAACGAAACATCAGAAACAAAATAACACACACCAACATGTGTTTACTATTTAAAAAGGTGAAGCCAGGGTTGTGTTCATTAGGGCACCTAATGGAAAACGTTTCAATCCCTGTTTCAATCAAATTTCTTCCATTTGGTTGGTAATATGTTGCACCTTATGGACAGGGACCAGGTTAACCAAGACAGTGTCCAACAGCTCCTGGGAGACCGAATCCCCCTCACACACGATGGAGCTCATCAGGTCCACCATGTGCATGTGGACCTTCTGGTTGTGGCCATTGCTGAAAGGATAGGGAGTGGGACTGGGTTAATACATTGAACAATATACAGTGGGGGAAAAAAGTATTTAGTCATCCACCAATTGTGCAAGTTCACCCACTTAAAAAGATGAGAGAGGCCTGTAATTTTCATCATAGGTACACGTCAACTATGACAGACAAATTGAGGAAGAAAAATCCAGAAAATCACATTGTAGGATTTTTAATGAATTTATTTGCAAATGATGGTGGAAAATAAGTATTTGGTCACCTACAAACAAGCAAGATTTCTGGCTCTCACAGACCTGTAACTTCTTCTTTAAGAGGCTCCTCTGTCCTCCACTCGTTACCTGTATTAATGGCACCTGTTTGAACTTGTTATCAGTATAAAAGACACCTGTCCACAACCTCAAACAGTCACACTCCAAACTCCACTATGGCCAAGACCAAAGAGCTGTCAAAGGACACCAGAAACAAAATTGTAGACCTGCACCAGGCTGGGAAGACTGAACCTGCAATAGGTAAGCAGCTTGGTTTGAAGAAATCAACTGTGGGAGCAATTATTAGGAAATGGAAGACATACAAGACCACTGATAATCTCCCTCGATCTGGGGCTCCACGCAAGATCTCACCCCGTGGGGTCAAAATTATCACAAGAACAGTGAGCAAAAATCCCAGAGCCACACGGGGGACCTAGTGAATGACCTGCAGAGAGCTGGGACCAAAGTAACAAAGCCTACCATCAGTAACACACTACGCCGCCAGGGACTCAAATCCCGCAGTGCCAGACGTGTGCCCCTGCTTAAGCCAGTACGTGTCCAGGCCCGTCTGAAGTTTGCTAGAGTGCATTTGGATGATCCAGAAGAGGATTGGGAGAATATCATATGGTCAGATGAAACCAAAATATAACTTTTTGGTAAAAACTCAACTCGTTGTGTTTGGAGGACAAAGAATGCTGAGTTGCATCCAAAGAACACCATACCTACTGTGAAGCATGGGGGTGGAAACATCATGCTTTGGGGCTGTTTTTCTGCAAAGGGACCAGGACGACTGATCCGTGTAAAGGAAAGAATGAATGGGGCCATGTATCGTGAGATTTTGAGTGAAAACCTCCTTCCAACAGCAAGGGCATTGAAGATGAAACGTGGCTGGGTCTTTCAGCATGACAATGATCCCAAACACACCGCCCGGGCAACGAAGGAGTGGCTTCGTAAGAAGCATTTCAAGGTCCTGGAGTGGCCTAGCCAGTCTCCAGATCTCAACCCCATAGAAAATCTTTGGAGGGAGTTGAAAGTCTGTGTTGCCCAGCGACAGCCCCAAAACATCACTGCTCTAGAGGAGATCTGCATGGAGGAATGGGCCAAAATACCAGCAACAGTGTGTGAAAACCTTGTGAAGACTTACAGAAAACGTTTGACCTGTGTCATTGCCAACAAAGGGTATATAACAAAGTATTGAGAAACTTTTGTTATTGACCAAATACTTATTTTCCACCATAATTTGCAAATAAATTCATTAAAAATCCTACAATGTGATTTTCAGGATTTTTTTTTCTCATTTTGTCTGTCATAGTTGACGTGTACCTATGATGAAAATTACAGGCCTCTCTCATCTTTTTAAGTGGGAGAACTTGCACAATTGGTGGCTGACTAAATACTTTTTTTCCCCACTGTACACAGAGTACAAAACATTAGGAACACCTGCTCTTTCCATGACAGACTTACCTGGTGAAAGCTATGATCCCTTATTGATCTCACTTGTTAAATCCACTTCAAATCAGTGTAGATGAAGGGGAGGAGACAGGTTAAAGAATGATTTTTTAAGACTTGAGACAATTGAGACATGGATTGTGTATGTGTGCCATTCAGAGGGTGAATTGGAAAAACAAAAGATTCCTAATGTTTTGTACACTCAGTGTAAACATTTTATTATAGGATCATTTAGATTAAAGGAATAATCTGTGGCGTTAAGAAGCATTTGGTTCATTTCATTGTGGTCAGTAAATGAATGGAGCCACCTCAGTCAGAACCGTACATACAGTATTTCTCCTATCATTAGGCTCTACATAGGGAATACAGTGCCATTTGGGTAACAGCTCCTGAACCACAGTAATGCTAAACCACACAGAGTGTAAAGACAGTTATCTTTCATAACAGTGAGCTCTACTGACTGACTCAATAATACACACTGACTGATTTATGATAGACCTGCTTCTGAATTTCAAAAGCCAGCGCAGAGCACAGAGACTGAGTCTGGTTGAAACACATTTGGCTCTGGATGGAATATTTGGCCCTATTATGAACTCTTACCACCAGCAATTAGGGGTGTAACGGTACACATATTCGTACTGATCATTTCGGTACGGTGACCTCTGATCGGTCCGCACTGTGAAACTGAATGAATACATTTAAAAAAGATATACAGTACCAGTCAAAGGTTTGGACACACCTACTCATTCAAGGGTTTTTCTTTATTTTTACTATTTCTACATTTTAGAATAATAGTGAAGACATCAAAACTATGAAATAACACATATGGAATCATGTAGTAACCAAAAAAGTGTTAAACAAATGAAAATATATGTTATATTTGAGATTCTTCAAAGTAGCTACCCTTTGCCTTGATGACAGCTTTGCACACTTGGCATTCTCTCAACCAGCTTCATGAAGAATGTTTTGTGCTGAGCACTTGTTGGCTGCTTTTCCTTCACTCTGCGGTCCAACTCATCACAAACCATCTCAATTGGGTTGAGATTGGGTGATTGTGAAGGCCAGGTCATCTGACGCAGCACTCCATCACTCTCCTTATTGGTCAAATAGCCCTTTCACAGCCTGGAGGTGTGTTTTGGGTCATCAGACCAAAGGACAGATTTCCACCGGTTGAATGTCCATTGCCCGTGTTTCTTGGTCCAAGCAAGTCTCTTCTTCTTATCGGTCCTTTAGTAGTGGTTTCTTTACAGCAATTCGACCATGAAGGCTTGATTCACGCAGTCTCGTCTGAACAGTTGATGTTGAGATGTATCTGTTACTTGAACTCTGTGAAGCATTTATTTGGCCTGCAATTTCTGAGGCTGGTAACTCTAATGAACTTATCCTCTGCAGCAGAGGTAACTCTGGGTCTTCCTTTCCTGTGGTGGTCCTCATGAGAGCCAGTTTAATCATAGTGCTTGATGGTTTTTGAGACTGCACTTGAAGAAACTTTCAAAGGTCTTGAAATTTCCGGATTGACTGACCTTCATGTCTTAATGATGGACTGTCGTTTCTCTTTGCCTTTTTGAGCTGTTCTTGCCATAATATGGACTTGGTCTTTTACCAAATAGGGCTATCTTCTGTATACCACCCCTACCTTGTCACAACACAACTGAGAAAATAAATTCCACAAATTAACTTTTAACAAGGCACACCTGTTAATTGAAATGCATTCCAGGTGACTACCTCATGAAGCTGGTTGAGAGAATGCCAAGAGTGTGCAAAGCTGTCATCAAGGCAAAGGGTGGCTACCTTGAAGAATCTAAAATGTAAAATATATTTTCATTTGTTTAACACTTTATTTTGGTAATTACATGATTCCATGTGTTATTTCATAGTTTTGATGTCTTCACTATTATTCTACAATGTAGAAAATAGAAAAAATAAAGAAAAACCCTGGAATGAGTAGGTGTGTCAACCTTTGACTGGTACTGTATATAAACCCTGGATTGCTGATGCTATGTATTTGCCAGTGAGAGGCTTTGAAGCCACCAGTCAGCTATATCGGCACTCCCCAGAAGGAGCAGTCCTCCATAGGAATGAATGGAATTCTACAGTATTTCAATGAAATGTTTAATGGAAAAAATTACATGTATTTAAGTATTTTGTTGTTGTAGTGGGGACAGTAACACTATTTATGTTTATGTTTAGTTTACATAATATAATATAAAAGTATGCCTTAAGGCATTGGTGCCTAGGACGTCGATCGCAGTCGACCGGTCAATCGCGAACTTCTATCTAGTAGACCGCATAAACGTTTTCAAAATGTATGCACTAAAAATATATATTTTGGCAATTCACAGCGTTACCATCGAGTCTGCTTAAAACTAATGAGGTCCACAGTTCTGAAGCGCCGTATGCTTTGCTTACAGGTTAGCTTCTTTCTTGAATATTACTGCACAGCCAAAATATAAATAAAACTGCTTGACTGACATAAAATTGGACCAACCCGCGGCATTATAGTAGCTACATTTGTTGGTATGCCCGAGTGGCGCAGTGGTCTAAGCCACTGCATCTCAGTGCTTGAGGCGTCACTACAGACCTCCTGGTTCGATTCCAGGCTGTATCACAACCGGCCGTGATTGGGAGTCCCATAGGGCGGCGCACAATTGGCCCAGCGTTGTCTGGGTTTGGCCAGTGTATTGGCCGTCATTGTAAATAAGAATTTGTTCTTAACTGACTTGCCTAGTTAAATAAAGGTTAAATAAAAAAACATTTCGAGACCTGTAACAGAATATTCTTTGTTGTTCCGGTGGTAGTTGTTTTTTTTTTACTATGTTTTTTTCTATGAAGTTGCGGTTACATTTTTTAATATGAGTGCTGGACCAAGCAGCAAGAAACCGAAAATCTACCACTTTCACAGTGAGTGGGAGGAAGATAATTTTTTCACCACAACAAATTCAAAATGTGTGTGTATGATCTGCCATTCAAACGTAGCTCTTGCTAAGAAGGGAAATATTGAGGCATTTCAAAACTGTTCACAAGAAATATGACCACGTTAGGAAGAGGGTGGAAAAAGTAGATCCTATGTAACTAAAGTCTGGGCACCCCTGCATTAAGGTGTCTGGCACAAACAAATGTTGACATTAATAAAGGCATTTCTATAGCTTCCAAAATGATTTTTACAATGGTGGGGGAGTGCCAAGATGGAGGCGCTGTGCCTTCAAAACAGCACAATGTCTGAGCCATGTTTACATATTGATTTCACACGCATATTGCATGTGTTCATTTAAGAAAATACAAAGTGTTGG